CAGGAGAAGATTTGTCAAGCTTTAGGTATAATGTTAAACTTGGTCGAACACAACCCTGTAAAAGTGAACTCATATGTCATTGCACCTCATGAAGTTTTGAAAGAACTATTGAAACTTTTGACAGAGGCAGACGATATAAACATCAAAGAAATAGAACCCGACATTAGTTGCTGTGGTGTTTCATATAATGTCATTGACAAGATATACGTTATGAAAGGAGGTGAAACGTTGAACTTAAAAGTATAGTTTCCCAGACGTTTAAAAATATTTGACGACCACAACATTTCATTAAAATTTATTTGCTAAGTAAAATGTCAAAACTTCTTGAAAGATGTTTGAAGAAAAATTAATATAGACTTTATTTCATGTAAAGGACTTTACACACTTTTGAACGATATGAAAGACCCTGTTTTGTTTGTTCGTGTAGACAAAGGAAAGTTCTATGTCTTTACAAAATATTTGAACTTCTTAGACAGAGAACTTCAAGAAACCTCATGTGAAAGTTTAGATGAAGTTCTTCTCCACTTTCAGAAAAAACTTTTAAATATATATAAATGGCAGAAGACATAATGGTTTATACTATTACGACTAAAAACCTGAGTCATATAATTCTATAACAACAAACTTACAAAGTCCTCAAGGACGATATTGTAAACTAACCTTAAACACAATGACGACTAAAGCCTGTTTTGCTCTTTTGACACCAGAAGACTTTATTGTTGTGAATGGTAAAAAATACTCCTTTTGAAGATACTTACTCAGATAATACCACCAACAGGTTTTGTTGACTTATTTAATACTTTAAGTACGGGTGTAACATGTGCTGCAACTAGAGCAGGTTTCATTATGTTTGGATGTCCGACTGAGTTTACTATAAACGATATGAGCTATAATACAAAACTTATTTCTGGTTTTTACTTAACCACAGTTTCCTATAACAGGAAAAGGTGTCATACAAGGAATGTCTATTCCATTGACATTAAGCACACCACAATCTATATATTGTTTCAAACTTAGGTTCAAAGTGTTATTCGAATGTCGACAGAAACTATTATGACCAAAAGATACTTATGCGTATAAACAATACTTTCTCTGCTGGTTTGCCTATTGTTCATTCGAATGCAGAATTTTCAACCTTAGTGAACTCAAACACTTTGGCAAGTATAACGTTGACATTAGTTGACGCAAACTTTGTTCCTGTAAAACTTTTATGTCCTATGTATTTGTCAATGACGGCAGAAAGTTTTCGAATTGGAAGATGCAACTGGTGAAAGTATTGTATTACAAAGAACAACTTCAACAACAAATAGCTCAAGAACAACAAATGCAACAAATGCAACAAATGCAACAAATGCAACAAATGCAACAACAAAGTCAAGAATAAAAAAAATATTTTTTTTATTTTTATAAAAATGTACAGAATAGATGTTTCAGATTTTTATGACTTCCAAGCATTCAGAAATATGTGTCCATTTCGAGACTATAACAAAGCAGTCGAGAATTTGAAACGTTTAGTCATTTATGTCGACTCTGCCCCAGAATGTTATGTTATGAAAGAATGGGATGTAGTCTTTAACAAACCTAAAGCGACAATAGTGTCTGAACAAGAATGTAGACAGAAACTTAAGAAAATAAAAGTCGTACAAGTTGGCATGAAGATGTTAGATGCTTGGGATATCTTATTGTCAAAACTTGAAGATTTTTCAGTTCGAGGTATAAAGTTCTATACACCTTCTCCAAACTTCTATTCTATCTTCACTGGATATAAATATGAACAAGTAGAATGGAAAGAAAATATTATAGAAGCTTGGTTAGACCATGTCAAAGAAATTATATGCAATGGAAACGAAAAGGTTTATGAGTATATCTTATGTTGGTTTGCAAACATCTTACAACATCCAAGTGCTAAGAATGAAACTGCTCTCATTATAATTGGAAAACAAGGAACAGGTAAGAACACATTCTTTACAGATATTTTGTGCAAACTATTAGAGGGCTATTCGAACCCGAATATGACAAACATAGAAAACATCTGCGGTAAATTTAACTCCTCAATAGAGAATATGAAACTTATAGTATGTAACGAACTTCAAAGTATAGATACAACAAAAGTTTTAAACTCAGATGCTTTGAAGAGTCTTATAACAGATAAAGTTGGAGTTGTTGAAAGAAAATATAAAGACCAAAGAGTTTGTGAAAATGTTGCAAACTTCATTATGGTTTCAAACAATGCTGTTCCGATGAAGTTAGAAAGTTCTGACAGAAGATATGTAGTTGTCAGAACGTCAGATTCTCATATGCAAGATACAGAATATTTTGACGACTTAGCAGAAACTTTGACATCTGACTTTTACAACCACTTGTTTCATATTTTATGACATTAGATATTTCAAAGTTCAATCCAAGACAAATTCCACATACCGAAGAGAGACAAACATTGTTAGAAGCAAACAAGAGTGTATATGAACTGTTCATAGATGAAACTGACTTTGAGTGTTTAGATGAAAGGTCATTGTACGATTCGTATAAACAATATTGTCAAGAATATGGTTATATGACAGCGTCTAAACGTACATTCTTGGCAAATGTCAAAAGTCTTTTAGACGTACAGAATGGTGTATATACAAAGAAAATTTTTTATGAGTAAATTTTAAAAAAATATTTTTTTTATCCGATAGAAAAGATGGCAAAATTCATCTCAGTAAACAAGTACATGTCAGGACTTAAAGAAGAACTAGACCCATTCACATATTTGAATGTTTACTTCTACCATTTTGAAAAGTCTTCATTCAGCAAAGTTTGGAACATCGAACCAGTTAAGTTTGCTATTGTGACTAAAAATGGTGCGAAATTTGAAGACTTAGACATAGAAGGTTTGTTAGCAGTCAAAGAAAATTTTGACAGAAGGTTCTCAAACCTTAAAGAAGGCAAAGCATACAAACTTGTTATACCTTATGAACCAAAGAAGACAGACGACTATGAATATTATGAGTCTAAGATAGTTGAAGTTCAAGGTAAATTGGGTAAAAAGATTTTAGAGTCTAAGCCAGTGTTTGCCCCTAAAGAGGAAGAGAACATTGACATTGACCCAGAAATGTTCTAAAAATAAAATTTTATTTTTACATGTCAAATTTCTTTTTCTCTGGAACTGGTTCAGGTTCTTTCTTCTCTTCTTCTACTTCTTTTCTTTCTTTTTCTCTCTTCTTCTTCTCTGGTGGAGTTATGTCAAATTTCTCCGAACCATATTTATGTAAAAGTTCTTTGTCCTTTAATAGCTCATCTATTCTGTTTTCTATTTCATCTTCAAGAACAGCGCATGTGTCTTCTTTGCATTCTAAGAACTTTTGTTGGACTTCATCTTTCCAATCGGTGTCATCTCTGTCAACAAGTCTGTCATTGACAAATTTTAAGACTGCTCTGCTTAATGTTTTATGGTTCTTGTCATATTCCCAAAACAGAACTTTAAAACAAATTCACCTTTCTTGTTTACACTATGTAAGATTTTATGGTCGACAGATGTTTTGCTGTCAAAAAGCTTGTCTCGAATATAGATAGCGAAATCGCTAGACATTTTCTAAAAGATAAAAATTTTAATTTTTCTAAAAATATGTTAGAAAAAAAGTTTGCTGACATTGACAAGAAATTTGAGAATGTTTTAAACAAGAACAAGAGGAAGTTAGAAAATGCTCAGATAAAACCCATACATGACAAGTTCTTATTTGCTCAGAATGGTATAACAGGTCTAATTGCACCACCTGGGTCGGGTAAGACTTTCACTTATCTTAAAATGGCTGCACAACAACAAGAACTAGATGAGAAGAACCCATTCTATGAGTTAGTTGTCATTTGTAGTACTTCTGGTCAATTTGACCAAACCGTCAATTCGTTCAAAGATATTATAAAGAAGTCTAAGTTAGTATGTATAAAGGATACTGAGTTGTTAGATTGGATAAAGAAGTACCAAAGAAGGGTTTTGAAGTACAATGCTATAAATGAGTATATAAATTCGAAGTTTAAAGACCCAAATGAGGAAATGCAGAGAATATTAGAGAAGAAACACTTCAGAAACAAACAGAAAGAGATAGAATACATTTCGAAGAAATTGCAATCTTACGATTGGAAGACATACCCTCATAGGTGTCTTCTTATCTTAGATGACTTTGCTTCTCATCCTTTGCTTAAGAATAGAGAACAAGATATGTGTCGAATTCTTAAGAAGCTCAGACACTTTAACATCTCAGTTGTCATTTGTGTACAGACAGCAAAGAGTTTAAGTAAGGATGTTAAAAGAATACTGACTGACATTGTACTTTTCCCCGGATTGTCCGAAGACGATTTCATGGAACTTATGAAAGAGTCCATGGCAGGTAAGTTTGACAGACATGAACTATGGGAGAAGTACAAAGTCATACAAGACCCTCATACTTCTTTCAGAATTCATATCTACGCAAACAAAGTTCAAATTGTAAAAAGTCAAGCTTGAAAATGTAAGTGTTTAGTCTTAGTAAGTCTGTTGTGGTGCTGGGGCTGTCGGTTCTTCTGGCTTTGGAAGGCATTCAGGAAGAGGAACGTCAGTCATCCGTTTGTGTCCTGTCGGAAGGAAGAACTTTTCCAGTTGTCGGGAAAAACTTTTTCTGTCGGAAGGAAAAACTTTTTCTGAAGTTCGACCAAAAAGTTCTCAATTTTCGAAAATTTGAATGGTTTACGGACGGACAACTGGAAAATTTTTTCTTGTCGTCGGGAAAAATTTTTCTTGTTGGAAGGAAGAGTTCTTCCTGTCGGAATGAAAATTTTTTCCTGTCGGAAGGAAGGACTCGGAATGCCAGAAGGATTTGACGAGGCAATTTACCTAATTGAGCTACTTGAGCCATCTGAAGTCAAGCTTGAAAAATAAAGAGTGCAATTTACTCTACTTGTTTGAAGTTGTCAAAATACTCTGTTATTTTTTCCTTTAACAATGGCAAATCTTCTTTGAAGGTAAGTATTGTACAACCTTTGATGTCATAGTGTGTTTGAGGTAAAGTATCTTGAACTATTTGTTTCACATCTTCATTTGGGGTCATTGAAATCGGTAAGTTTTCGCGATAGAACCAATTTCTGTCAGATTTGTAAATCTTAGCAAGGTCGTAAAAGCTTTTGTTGTTTCTTCTGACTAAATGCAACATAACCATATCTTTATCTTCTTCATTTTCCATCTCTTCAGTATAAATCATATACTTATAGTTCTTTTCCTTTCCTTTTGGTACCGAACGTGGTATTCTTTTCTGAATGCTTTTGTCTTTTGCTTCAAGCTTGTTTTCCATCTCTTCACGTTCTTGTCTATGAATTTCGTCAAGAAGTCTGTAAATATACCAAGCATAACGAGGCGAAGCCCACATTGCAACAGCATTTACAAGAAGTCTATGTACATAATATCCTCTCAAACCGTTTGGCAATTTTTCACGATTTTCATAGAGTTTTGGCGACCCCGAAAAAAGTCGGTCTCGCTGTTCTTCACGATTTTCATAGAGTTTTGGCGACTGCGGTTTTTTACCTACTCGAGTTTTTGCGACTACGAGAAAATCCGTAGTCGAATTTTCAGCTTCATTTAATAGTTCAATAGTGCTTTGGTTCCTAAACCAGTCTTGTGGTTTCTTAGTATCTGGAGCAAAACATGCTGTCAAAATACTTTGCATTTGGTACATATCGTCTTTGACCGAACGAATGAGACGGAGTTGTTTGTTAAACTGTATGTACTCATATTCTTCATTTATAGCTTCATGGACTATAACTGTTGTTGTGTTCTCTGTTGTTGACATATCTGTCTTTACATACAAAATAAAAAAATAAATAAAAATAAAATTAGCGTTATTTTCTGACTTTCACAAAAGACCAAAAATAAACGCTTTACATGTATTTTTCAGCAACTTCGTCAAATAATTTTATAGCTTTATCTATCTCATCTACTTCAAACGTTTCTTTACCTTTCGTGGGAGCACCATACATTTTCTCAAACTTTTCAAGTAGTTCTGTTTCAGCAGCTCTCATATCGTTAACGAACACAACCTTGACTCTATTGACTGTACTGTCATATCTTAGAGTTATATTATATGTTCTTCCTATCTTATATCTCTTTGTATTGAAGTCCTTCGGTTTCTGAACGATGTAAAGTAAGCCTTCACTGCAACGTTCCGTATCGAATGAACCATATGTTATGAAGTTATATCCAACAACTGGGTCTAACCATAACAAAACTATTGGTATAAGACTTTTGTCGATGAGATATGCTGCAGTTCCATAGAATTTTACCGATATCATAAGCTCAGGATTTCTTGTCAAAATTTTCTGACTAGAAGCATTTCTAACCCAGTCCTTTGTTTTCTTTCCAGATGGAGATAAAATGTCTGACAAAGAATATTTGTTGTATTTCTTTGAGTATCTTACGTTTAAATCACCTATTCTAACCAATTTGGTGTCATTGTCTATCTTTTTAACTGTTTCAAACTCAATGTTTGACATATATGTTCTTACATACAAAATAAAAAAATAAATAAAAATAAAACTAACTTTATTTTTTCTATCTTGTATAAAAGATATGATTTCAGGGATTTTTTTGACGAAGTGCAAAAGTTCTCTTCGTAAAAAAATAACAGTTATATAATGAAATTTGGTCATTTTTTCACGATTTTCATGAGTTTTAGGCGACCCCGAAAAAAGTCTGGGTCGCAATTTTTCACGATTTTCATGAGTTTTAGGCGAGTAAGATTTTCTATCTTGTATAAAAGATATGATTTCAGGGATTTTTTTGACGAAGTGTCAAAGTTCACTTCGTCAAAAAATAACAGTTATATAATGAAATTTGGTCATTTTTTCAGCAAAAATATATTTTAGGTGAAGAGGTGAGATCTCACCCGTTTTCTCACCTGTTTTCTCACCTCAGTTATTTTATAAGCGTTTTACATGGTAAACGTTATTTTTGGAATTTTGTGAAAACTCAACGGTTTGACACAAGCCCTAAAAATTATTTTACTCAGAATTTTGTTGCTGAATTCAATAAAAATATATTTTAGGTGAAGAGGTGAGATCTCACCTGTTTTCTCACCTGTTTTCTCACCTCTTTTTTTCACAAGCGTTTTACATGAATTGTACGATGTATATTTGAAATTCTAAACAATTTCGTAGCTTCTATTTCTTCTGTCAGTATGTCAAAAGTTTTAACTATGCCGAAAGTCTCTTTATACTTCTTCTTGACATCAGATAGAAGGAAATCTTCTGCTGTTGGATAGTTTTTGTTCAGAAATTCTAACATGTCCATTTTATTTTCTACCGGCTTCTCTGCTTCTTTCTTTAAATCTGCATAGTCGTTTCGCATACGTTCTATCTCTTTGACGGAGTAGTTATATCTCCTCATTGCTGCTTTACATTTAGAACATTGCGGGTTCATTTTTGCGTTATATTCTGAAACCTTACCTGCTAAAACAACTAAAGCGTCAATTGCTCTCTTCATCTCAAACATAGCGGGTCTTATTTGTTTGTTCCATACTTTGCCTCTTCTATCTTTATCTCTTATCTGCCATACACATTCAGCAACTAACGAAACAAAGTTGTCGTAGGTCTTAAATTCTTCAGATTTATATATGTCAGAGATGTTCTTATATACCATGTCGCAATCTTTGTCCATAACCTTATGGTTGCAATGAAATCCAAGAAACTCATAGTTTACCTTTCGTATGAACTTCTTTATTTCTACTGAGTCAGTTGCTTTGACTTCTATTTCGTCAAATTCGGGAATAGTGAGTTTTTGTTGTTGGATTTCAGGTAGTTTAGGTAAATGGTCAATAATGTCCTGCATGTCATAAAGATACTGTTCATTTTCTTCATCTTTCGCACTACAGTCTAAATTACATGTTAAAAGTTCCTGCTTTATCTTCTGGATTTCTGTTTCAAAAGTATATGAAGAAGGAATGAAGCTTTTCATCTCTACTAACATAGATGTTGGATTCATAACTAAAGAGTTTGGTGAAGTTGTTGTTTGAATTGTTGTTGTGCCGATTGTTGAAATCATATCTTTACATACAAAATAAAAAAAAATAAAAAAATAAAACTAACTTTATTTTTTTATTTCGGGAAAATTCATGAAAATTCAAGAGGTGAAAAAAGAGGTTAGAAAAGAGGTTAGATCTAACCTTCTACCCTAAATTATATTTTTGTCTGATTTAAGCTCATTACGAAGAAGTTTCGACAAAACATTTACGTTCATGTTTGACAAAGCATGTACGTTCATGTTTGACAAAGCATATACGAAGAAGTCTTGACAAATTCAAGAGGTGAAAAAAGAGGTGAAAAAACAGGTGAGATCTCACCTCTTCACCTAAACTTTATTTTTGGGTCCTTTACACTCATTACGAAGAAGTCTTGACAAAACATTTACGAAGAAGTCATGAAAATTCAAGAGGGTGAAAAAAGAGGTGAAAAAACAGGTGAGATCTAACCTCTTCACCTAAAATATATTTTTGGTCTTTTGTGAAAATTCATGAAAATTCAAGAGGGTAGAAAAGAGGTTAGAAAAGAGGTTAGATCTAACCTTCTACCCTAAATTATATTTTTGTCTGATTTACACTCATTACGATGAAGTCTTGACAAAACATTTACGAAGAAGTCATGAAAATTCAAGAGGGTGAAAAAAGAGGTGAAAAAACAGGTGAGATCTAACCTCTTCACCTAAAATATATTTTTGGTCTTTTGTGAAAATTCATGAAAATTCAAGAGGGTAGAAAAGAGGTTAGAAAAGAGGTTAGATCTAACCTTCTACCCTAAATTATATTTTTGTCTGATTTACACTCATTACGATGAAGTCTTGACAAAACATTCATGAAAATTCATGAAAATTCATGAAAATTCAAGAGGTGAAAAAAGAGGTGAAAAAACAGGTGAGATCTCACCTCTTCACCTAAATTATATTTTTCAATACTTTTTTCAGCACTTTTCCGTAGTTATATATGAAAGACAATTCGAGATAAAAGTCATAGTACAATGGAATAATATGTTGCACACCATTTGTTGTGAACCAAACTTGAAAGTCAGAGAAACTGTTACTAGGTGGTTCGTAGAATTTAGAAGCAAAGTCATAAAAGTCCTTACCAATACATAGAAAACTATTGTTGCTTGAACTGAAACTTGCATGACACATAACATTTTGAGGGTCAAACACATTTCTATAAACTGTCAAATCTGCTGGTGGAAGTATAAATTTAAATGGACCATCTGGTGGTAATGGTTCGTTCTGGTTTAGTAACCGAAGAAATTGTGCCCAAGAACGTTTGTCTACTTTCCAAAATAAAAACTCTGTATCTCTTGGAGGGTTAATTTCAATCTTTTGAAATGAAACGGTGGAGTTCATCTTGTCATATTCTAGTTTCAGATAGTATGTTCCATTTAGTAAAGAGTCGTATTTTTCTTGAAATTCCCAATAATATTTGTTCATTTGAGTTTGAAAGTCATTTAGAGTTTTCTCAAGACTTTCGTCTGAACGAACTGTAAAGATTCTCATTTCGTCAAATTTGTCTATTAGACCATCAGAACCTTTATACTGCCCATGAAAATATACTGCGAACATAAATGCGTTAGTTCTATTTGAAAACAAAACTCTTCTAAATCCTATTGCCTTTGCATCTGAAGGACTTTGAAGCCAACGAATTGGATAGTCAAACCTGTATACTCGGGATGAAATTTCTTCATCTGAAATAGTCCTACCAGCATTTGTAAAGATATAGTCTAACGGTTTTGTATCTGCTACTTTTGTTCTTTGTTTTTCAACCTGAAGCATTTAATATATGTAAAAAATATATTGTTTTAAAATGGTATGCCATATAGCTTCTTGAATTTGTTAAGAAGTATTTGAACGTATTTTCCATCTGTATCTCTAGTGTTTACATAAGCATAGCCTGCCTTAGTAAAATATACTTGTAATTTCCTATAGTTTACGCCGGTATAAAAGTAGAAAGAGTCTTGTTCTTCGCTATAGTAGTAAAACTCAAACGTATGCTTGCCATAGTCTGTAATTTCAATTGTTTCATCTTCTAGTTCGTCGACAAATTCGAATACAATATCTCCAAATTTGCCTTTGTTCTTATTGTTTTCAGAACAAGTGACCCAACGTAAGTTTTCAAGTCTATTGTCGTTTCTTATACGGTTTATATGGTCTACAAAGGTAAATTGTTAGGATTCAGTATAAAATGAGTTGCAATGACAACATGTTTAAAATAGTTTTTCCACTCATCTTCATAATAGCATATCCGTCATTTCGCTCCATTCGCTTAAAAACTCTTTTTGTTTTTTGTTTCTGCTTCAAAATGACTCACACAGTGAATTTCATATTTTCTCATCTAACAAACAAGTTTCCCAACGGTCTTCTCCAACAAACTCAGCGTACATTTCAAATAAATAAAAAAATATTTTTTAAAAATATATTGTTTTAAAATGGTATGCCATTTCATATTTCTCATCTAACAAACAAGTTCCCACGGTTTCTCCAACAACTCAGCGTACTTTCAAATAAAATAAAAAATATTTTTTAAAAATATTTGTTTTAAAATGGTATGCCATTTCATATTTCTCATCTAACAAACAAGTTGTCCTTCAACTTGAGGTTCTAACATCGAAAGGCATGTCCATAAGACGTTCTTCTTCTAACCTCTCTAGTCTGTTTGGATAATTGGCACGTGCTGTTTCCAAATCCATTTCGTAGCGAAGACAGCCAGTTTGTCATAGACTTTTATGGGTCTTCCTTTCTTTATATTTAAACTTCTTCGAAACTCTCCAACCATATCTTTGCAACTCTGCTTTTATTCTAGCAGATTTTCTATCCATTCTATATGGGGGCATTTTTATAAAAAATAAAAAAATATTTTTTTTTTCTTACTTAAAACATAACCGCCTGCTGCCATAAGTCTTTGACGCCAACCCATACAGCTAATGAAGGTTGACTTGGTTTAGTTTGGAAACTAAACTTTGGTTTTGGTTTATCTTCAGTTTTTGGTTTCTCTTCTTCTATCGGTTTTTCGTCACTTTTCGGTTCCTCTGACTTTACCTCACCTGCAGGAACAGTTGTGTCGTTAACATCTTCATAAATATCATATGCCATTTGTTTTTGTTTTCCTTTCAACTTTTTGTGTTTGTTGTAAAGTTTAGAATATTTCGACTCTAAGTCAATGATGTTCTATAATGAACTGTTGGTCAGTGAAGTAAACTTTTCCATCTGTTGTCTCGAAAGCTCCTTCAGACTTCAATATTTTATTTGTGAGAGTCTGTTTCTTTTTTGAGATACTAGCCGTTCCATTTCTATGAAAAGTGACTTTATAGTTAGGGTTTGTATTTCCAGACCTGGCACTTTCTATTATTGAATTTTTCTCTTCATCTGTAAGTTCTTTGACAGGTTTTGACAATGGTTCTGAACTTTTTGTTTGTGGTGTCAAATCTACCGTTTCAACTTCTTCGGTCATTTCATCTCAGTAAAAAATTTTAGTTTGGTTTGTTTTCAACTGGTTGTTGTTGTTTTTTAAGTCGGTCTAAAACTTCCTGAGGTATAGGAAGAACTTGACAAACACGTGGTGTAACTGCTGGAAGCCGACAAATCCATCTTGAACCCATTTGTCTCAATGCTGTATTGTTCATTTCATCTCAGTAAAAAACTTTACATTCCCCACGTTTGAGGCGGTTGAGGTTGGTTATTGTTTACCCATTGTTGTGCATGGTTATATCCTCTGTTAAAGAATCTTTCACCTTGGTCCATATAGTGTCCTGCTTGGTTTAGTAGTCATTTGCTTTGTTATAATAGTTTCTGCTTGTCTTCCTACATTGTCCATCCATCCTTGAACTTTTCCTCTTGTTTCAGGATTTGGAATAAGATTTGTTGCATCTCGTGCTACATCCCAACCTTTCTGTACAGTTTGTATAATAGGTTGTGCTTTCTCTTTAAGTATACCTAATGTACTCAAAATCTTCCTTCCAACTCCAAATACACCTCTAGCTATTGTTCCTACTGCGGGCAAAAATCTGGATGCAACTCCTGCTAATGCGCCAAATAAACCCATTTCTTATAGGGTAAAAAATGACGAATCCAAACAAGGACCCCTATGTTTCTAAAGCGACAAAGAAAGCACTCATGATAAAAATCTTTAGTTCAACACCAAATGCTTGGTTTATGGATATCTTGGAAAACATTCCGAGGTATAGAGAAGATGGACCACCATACTGGCTAATATTTGTTGGTCAAAACACAAGATACTGTGAAGCCATACCATTACAGTCCAAAGCTATTTTAGATATCTTAGCAGCTTTGACAATATTCGTTGACAAATACCATCCAACAAAACTGACATCTGACTGTGAAAGTTCTTTCAAATCAGATGATGTAAAAAACTATCTGCGTTCAAAAAATGTAAACCAATATTTCATTGTCGACCAAAACCATTCTGCTCTTGGTGTCATTGACGGTTGTATAAAAATGTTAAGAGACTTAAACCAACCACAAGGTGGTGAAGCAAATGAAATGTCATATGACGACAAATATAGACACTTCTCCATGGCAAAGATGAGACAAGTTTTAAATATTTACAATAGCCGTAAACAAAAAGGTTTGGGAAACCACTCCCCCGAAGAAATGAAAAACAACCCTGACTTAGAGAAAGACTATATATTTAATAATTTAGTCAAAAGAGACAAACAAGAAAGAATGCCGGGCTTCAAACTTCAGAAAGGTGACAAAGTAAAAATAGAAATACCTAAACGCGACCCATATGAAAATACTATTGACTATGACAACAATGGGAACCCGACAGGTACTCACATTCGTGTTCGTAAAAATAGAAGAAAGTATACAAGAGAATATTATGAAGTTTTAGGCAAACATGGCAAAATGTACACACTGCAAGCAGAAGATAAAACTACTATTGTCAGACCTCGTTTCAAACTTGTCAAAGTTCAAGGTGGTATACTTTCAAAGACAGTTCCTAACAAATATAAGACAACTCCTGACGAATATGCTAAAGAAGTTGAAAATGACGACTAAGCAATTCTATACCATGCGTAAACTGTCATGTAAGGTGGCATGTATTCTTTACTTTGTCCCGTTGTTTGTGTATATCCTGAAACGAAATGTGTATGGTTTCCTTCTCCCTGAGTGTCATCCCAGTAACAATTTATAGCAAACTTAACGTCGTCTTTAACATCATATCCTTTACCTTTTGTCATTCCTGACCAATCCCAATATCTATGCTTATGCCAACCTGCTTGAGCTGTACTTAAATCTATGTAGTGACTATGTGCAGGTAAATTTTCACCTGAAATCGTTTTACTTCCACCTGTTTCCTTTGAAGAGTTTGCACAATACAAAAACCTGTCGACTATTTGAGTCCAAGTTCCAAAACCAAGTACTACTTCTGGTCTGGTAGAGTTCATTGACGTATAAATAGAGCCTATAGGATATAATGTTTGAAGTATTTCTTTCTTTAATGTTTGAAGCTCTTTTTTGTCTGCTTTCTTGTCATATAAATCTTGAGCAGTGAATTTAATATTATGTTCATCCTTCATGACATAAACATCTTTACATCTAATGTTTCTCATCGTCGTTATGTCGTCATCCGATGTTAAACCTTGTGGAAAGTTAGGAGGTTTACAATATAATGCATCCCCACCAGTTTCTTCAACCGTTCCTTCAATACTTTCTATAGCAACAGTTGTAAAACTTGTATGTGTATGGTTCTTGTCTGCTTTCTTCTCAAGGCTAACGTTTAAGTCTGTTATTTCAGAAGATGTATGTGTATGTCCAACGGCACTTTTCCTGTTTAAGGTTTCTTGTAAGTTTGTAATATTTGCAATGGTATGTGTATGTCCAACGGCACTTTTACTGTTTAAGGTTTCTTGTAAGTCTGTTATTTCAGATATAGAATGTATATGAGTCTTTTTAGAATATTCGTTTTCAGCTCTTGTCACTTCACTTGACATTTTATTGTCAACATATGTTTTGTCTGCTAGTTCAGGATGAGTATGTTCTTTTGTTGCATAAGCATTGTTAGCTCTTTCTTCTTCTTTTGCTATTGCATCGTCTACATATTCTTTGTCAGCTTTGTTGTCAACATCTGTTTTCAAAAGAAGTTCATTTATAGGTTTCTCGTTTAAAGTTCCTTTTGTTGGATTTATACAGACAGTATTGTTCTTCTTGTCTTGAAACAGAAACTCATCTGTCATTGGGTTTAATGTCAGTTTAAGTTTCCTTCTTTCAATGACTCAGATATCTTAGAATAGTTTGAAAATTTTGTGTTTTCTTATTTAGAGCTTGCATAATGAGTTGTCGGTTGTGTTGTATTTCTCTCATGGAAGCAATATCTTTCGACATTTTTATTCTAGATAAAAATGCTTTCAATAGAAAAAAAATTCAAGATTGCTACAACTAAACCATTAGATGAACTTTTTACTAATGTCGGTCAAAATTTGAGACAGAGACCGTAAAGCATGAAGGCTATCGTTTTGACTACCCATTAAGATGGTTAAGAGACCCATCCGTCACAAAAGCTATTGCTTTCGTAGAATGAAGTTCATTTCAGAAGCCATACATGGTTTCCCATTTACGGTCGGTTTTGAAGTTAGATACTATAACAAAGAAAAACGTATGTATAGAAATTTGAACAGGGAAAACTTTTACAAGTTAGTTTGCTTGTAAACTTAGAAACAACTCTTCAAGCTTTTCAAGAAAAAATAAACGACATCTATCTCGAATATGCAAACCAGTATAACATTGACGAAGGAGAGTACCATCTCGATATTATTTATGACAGGAAAAATGCAACTGTTAAAATCAATAGAATAGAAGACCTTGGAGAAAACGTTTATATTTCTACAAAATATAACAACTTGGCATGGTATAGATTTTTGAGGATGTTAAATCAGCCTGCAGCATATCCAGTACACCCAGACTTTTATGAAGTCGAAAACCCTAATGGAACATATGAAAATGTTTTCGACCCAGCTATTATTGTTCATGCTTCATTTTTGGCGCCCAAAACTCTTTCTTACTTGGCAAATGACTTTTACGAAAACCTACAAAGTTATACGAACCACCAAGTGGGAAGTATTTCAGACTTTCAAGTATGGTTTACTACAGATGGAAGAAAAAGAATAATTCCATTATACCATGCGTTTTACTTAGAACTTAGTTTCATATACAACTACTATCGAACGGTAAAAATATAATTTTTAATACGGTTGAGGTGTTGGATTTGGTTGCCAACTAGACTGTGGTGCAGGTTCAGGCTGTTGTATAACAGGAGCTTGCTCTTCTGGTTCAGGGTCTTTAGGTATAATACCAACAAACTGACCTACTCTTTTACCAATATTTTTGACTCCGTTCCAAATTCCTCTTCCTACGGTTTTTATTCCATTCCATATACCTCTTCCAACATTCGAAAAAAGTTTCCAATACTACTGAAGAAACCCATTTTACTATATGTAAAAATCTAATGTCCGCCTAGTCTCTTACGTTTCCTGTTGAGTTCCATAGCATTCTTTAACTGGAGCTCATACATTCTGTTTCTCCTCTGGTAGAAAACATATTCTGGGTCAACTCTGTGTTCGCGTCATCTGCATAAAGTTGTTTATATCCACTTCAGGGTTTGTATAAAACTCTTCCATCTCATATTTGCATACCATGGTGGCAAACCTAACGCAGCGTCATTTGACATGCAGTTTGCATTTGTACATCTGTTGGCACTTGACCATAGTTTGCCATTGCAGTTTATTCTAACTTCATTTGGAATATTCTCTGGGTTTGGTTGTCCAGGTTGCTGTGCATTCGCTAAGTTCTGTGCGTCCATTTAATATTAGATAAAAATATCTCTTACGAGTACATATACTGAACATTTGCAGGCATTGGTTCATCTTCATATTCTCTGTACTTTTCTGCCACGTCAAAATAAATAATGACACAATGGAAAAAACCTAAAACAAGTAGTCCTATTTCAAACCACATTTACTTACTAATAAAATTTCTTTGTTATGACACTTTCTCCAGTTTATAGGACCTCTCTCATATTCTATCTTGTCATATAAAACTCATAGTCATGTATGTCCTCTAACCATCTCAATAACGGTTTCCAAACCACTTTTATCGATGTAAAGTAAAACATGGATGGTTATGTAAAACGTCTAAAGTTTCTAAAGAGTCTCTCAAAGTCCAGTCTACTTGGTATTGAAAATCCCATGTGTTATAGAACGGTGGGTCCACTATAAAGAAAACATTTTCCTTGTCTTTATATTTTTCATACAAATCTGTCCAATGACATCTCACAAACTCTATACCCTCAATATATTTTCTATGTCCTCTTTGAAAACATTTGTATAGTTAAGATATAAAACTTTTGACATAAGTGTTTCAAGTCATGAACTCTTATAGAACCACTATATAATAGTCTAGCAGATATACTATCCCAGTCTATATATTCTGCTTTTTTCAAAACCTCTCTCACAATATTTTTGTTATCTAATGGATACGTTCCATCTTACCTATAGGTATCTTTTCTTTTAACTCTTTCAATATATTGTTTGTATCTGGAATATGTTTGAGACGGTCCATATAGTTGTCGAAGTCATTGCATATAATCTTTGAGTCTGGGAATATTATATGGCACAAATGGGATATATAGAAACTTCCACCGAACAAATCTACAAATGTTAGACCATTCGGTAGTTTCTTAAGTTTCTCAAATATAATATCTTTACATTTACTCTTATTTCCAAAGAACGGTAACGGAGGTTTTGTAAAATTCATTTATATATATATATAAAAATGTTTTTACCTGAAAAGTGACAGAAAAGTGACAAAACATTTACGAAGAAATCATGAAAATTTCAAGAGGGTAGAAAAAGAGGTTAGAAAAGAGGTTAGATCTAACCTTCTACCCTAAATTATATTTTTGGGTCCTTTACACTCATTACGAAGAAGAAGTCTTGACAAAACATTTACGATGAAATCATGAAAATTCAAGAGGGTGAGAAAACAGGTGAAAAAACGGGTGAGATCTCACCTCTTCACCTAAACATTATTTTTGGGTCCTTTACACTCATTACGATGAAGTCTTGACAAAACATTTACGTTCATGTTTGACAAAACATTTACGAAGAAGTCTTGACAAAACATTTACGAAGAAGAAGTCTTGACAAAACATGTACGTTCATGTTTGACAAAACATGAAAACATATATAATTTGTGAAAAGCTCCTGGAAGACCCGTATATATAAGAACTTCATTTATAATAATCATCTTCAGGGCTAGAAGGCACGAAGTGCCTGGAAGCCCCACTACCTTTTTTTTTTTTTTTTTTTTTTTGTATTGCCAACCTATTGCATTGTAAAGAAAATGTAAGAAATAATGAAAGATTTTTAGGTGGATATGAAGAGTTGTGATATCTTATATAAATTAATAGATAGCAATGAGCGAATAAAGACATATTTCTTTACTAAAAAGGTCGGTTCACAAGCAGAACCCTGTGAAACAAACTATTACGAATTTTGGAATAATTTTAATCGTTACAATTTTTCCACTTTTTCAATGTTTTTGCTTTTCTGAGGAACGATAGTAATCCTCTGGCTTCACAAAAAAAATATGTTTTCTCTTCTCTTTGCTAGATCAGCTGCAAAAGTTGCTGCAACTATTAATGGTAAGGAATATACAGGAGAAACCCTCAAAGCTATCCTTGATAGTAATCAAATTGAACACGTTTATGAAATTAATGCCAGTGGCGATATTACATTTAGTGAATTCAAACTCGAACCTATGTTATCAGCTAATCAAATTATAATGGGCAACATGTTAGAAACTGATCTTCCAGATGAATTATTCAAAGAATCCTCTGTTTCCGTAGTTTCCTTTGCCAAAGTACAGAGAATTGGAAAGGGCGCATTCCTTGGCGCTAAGTCATTGAAATCAGCTAGCTTCCCAGAAGCTATCCAAGTTAGCAAAAACGCATTTAGTGGATGCGGAAAGCTTGAGACCGTTGATATTCCAAAGGCTATCTCCATTGAAGACGCAGCATTCTCAGGATCCGGAATTAAGAACGTAACATTTTCTAATGCCTTAATTATGTATTCTTCTGTCTTCGCCGATTGCCAGTCCCTTATCGAGGTCAACTTACCAAATGTCAGCTGCATTATTGACGATATGCAGTTCTTCAATTGCTCAAATCTTACAACCATCAGATTGCCATCTGTCAAGATCCTCTATTTCAACAACAGCCAGTTCGTCCAGAACTCTCCCAACTTAACCTCTCTATACTTCCCAGCAAATCCTCCAGAAGGCGTTGAAGATCAAACTTTCAACCTCACTGACGCAACCAAGTTCAACATCGTCCTTCCTTCTGAAAAGGATTGGAAGAACTACATCTCACAGTCCAACATCAGCAAGAAATATGAGATTGTTTACAAAGGATACAATTCTCATGTAATTGACAGCTCAAGGAAGTTCAAGAAGACAGTTCTTCCTTACCTTATCATTGCTATTGTTGTTGTTGTTATTGGTGTCGCAGTTGGCCTAGGATTTTACTTCTACAAGAAGGGAAGCCTTGATAGCATCCTTCCAAACTCACGCTTAGTTTAAGAAGCTATTCCTTTGAATATTCTGCTAAACAGTTATTAAATAGAAATCTTTTTTCAATTTTAACGAAATCCAAAAAAAATTATTTTAAAAGCAGTATAGGAATCCAGAATTAGATATTAGCCTTGCCATATAATTTTTGAACATTAACGATAGCGTTCGCTTGGCCGGACTGTGACCCTTAAAAAAGCAATTGTGTTGGAAATTTTTTTTATCAAAATTCAGTGGGATTTTAAAAAAATGTCAAAAAGTTCTGTTCCATGATTGAACAATTATTCTTCTGTAAAATCAATCTTCTTACTGGTTTATCAACCAGAAACGACCTCCTTACTCGAAACATTAAAAAAAAATCTAATTAAGAAATTCACAATTCCATCAAGCAAATATTCTGGTAGATGTAGCTCAATATCCCATGATCATAGTTATCAAAACATTTTTCAACTTTGTACTTTTATCTTTTAGAAAAGAACAGATTTGAGAATAGTTTTAGCTATTAAAAAAAAATATAAGTAAAAAAAAACAATGTTTTAGGAGCTGCAGAAGATAAAGTTTTTATGGTGTTACAAAAGTACCGAATTCGGGGTATTCATCTTCGAGATTGTGCACATTGGTTTCTGTTCTATCAGCAACTGCTGTCTCTTTTTGGTTTTTGAGTATGTCCTGAATGAGAGGGCAATTTGCTACTCTTAGCATGTTATCTATTAACCAAACGAAAAAAGCGCTTTTTGTCCGCTGATACGCATGAGGAACTTTGATATTGTAGTGATCTTTTAGCTGTATGATCAATTGTTTAATATCTCTCATTTTATGACCAGAAAATGCTTGGTGGATTTCTTGATATTGATAACCATATTGGAAAATCTCCAACTGAATCTTTTGGTTAAACATCTTCGTTTTCTCTCTTATGACCTTACGTCCTGGTCCGGTGCGTGAGAATAGGATAGGGTGCACCATCATTAAATAATCCCCGAAAATTTTGATATCATTTTCCTCTCAAAAATTATGGTATGAACTTTTTTTCCTCCTCCTTCCTCAAATCTCAAACAAATTATATATTTGATATTAAATTCTTGAATAATTTTGAATATTTTGAAATTACTGTCAAAATCTATTTGACAACTACTTTAATGTATAATGAAGAATATTTAATATTATGATAATTAGATCATGGAAAAATATATACACATTTTGCTTGGAATATTTAAACTTGAAAAAAATAAGGTTCTTTTTGAGAGCCAATAGAATTTAACTTGAAAAAAAAATCGTAAAATGGAAGTAGCAATGGGATTGTAATCTTACCATCATTGAGTGTGCATAATGGCAGAAGACATAATTTTTTCATTTCTTAAAAAGAATGCTTTGGTATTTAAATCACTCTATTTTAGATCCAGAGTTTATGTATTGTTCATATGCAAAAAATGGAGCTTCTCTGGTATGGAAAAAAAATTAATAAAATCTGAAGATCTTCGCATTTGAATCAAAATTCATTTGAATATATGCTTGTCTTAATGTGGATAATTATAATTTATGATTTTTCGGTTAAAAATAAAAGCTCAAAAAAAAATATTAAACATATTTTCATGATTTCAGTCTCTATAACTTACACTCTCCCAGAAAATTGAGAAAACTTTACTGAACGACAGTATGGTGTTTTTGGTGACAAATTTTAAATTTTTATGTTGGTGAAAAACCGTTTTCTCACAATTTTGAATGGAAAATGCATTTTTTTACGTTTTGGAATTGGAAACGAAATTCTTATCTAAATTCATCAAATATACTTAAACTTTATTTCCAAAAAGAAAAAAATAAGGTGAATCTAGTGTCATTTGTTTTTGAGCAAAATCAAAAACAAAAAAAATCAAATTTAAACTTCGACACCAGATCCTGAATCTTCAATACCTTCTGAGTCTTCACCAACATCTGATGATCCTTCTTTCTTCATCTCAGGCATATTCTTCGAATTATCTAATTCTTTGGAATCCTCTGTTGGAGCTTTAGTTTCTTTGGCAAGAATAGCAGCAATAAGGGAAATTGCAAGTGAAACAATGCAGAAGAACCAAAGTCCCCATTTGTAACCATACCAATCTTGAATTGCTTTTCCATTTTCGTCCTTTTGCCTGAAACCAAGAGTGGAAATTTGCTGGTATATAGCAGCAGCCATGAAAATGAAGAAATTGCCAAGGCCAACTGAAGATCCGGCGACTTTTGGATGATAATACGAACAAAGAAGAGGGTAAGATATACTAATGCAAGGGGCAGTGAAGAATCCAATGATTGTGTAAATCGCCCAGATAGCACCATTCGAAATATTTTCACCATGAATCATTAACGGAATTATTGAAGCGAGAGCTAAAGCATCTGCAGCAACAAGGATCCATTTCTTAGTATGTAATAGATTGGAAAGATGAGGAAGTATAAGAGATCCAGCGATAACACCTACAGAGCAAGAAATCAAAGTTGTTCCTTTCTTCTTGGAATCGTAACCAAGAACGGCTGTAAGATATGGGCCACCCCAATATCCAGCAACGTTGAAGTAAGGAGCTGAAGAAGTTGCGTTGAAAACTGTAATAACCCAGAAATATCCGTAAGCGAGGACTGTCTTAAAGTTTGTCCATAGTAATACCATTTTCTCCTTAAATGGCATTGGTTCACCTGATGTTGCAAGCTGACTGTTAACTGGTTCGTATCCTTTCGATGTTGGGCTTCCTCTAACGAAAATAAGGATAAAAATGGAAAGAACTCCACCTATTCCACCAATACCATACAAAGCAGCCTTCCAACCATATTTATCTGCAAATAATGCAAGAGGTAATGCAGCAAGGATGCCGCCAAGGCCAGAAACGGCAACAAGGATACCCATGTAGATTGATAAGTGTTGGAGTTTAAACCAATTTGTAATAACACGGCATGTCGAAACATATGTTGGTCCACAACCTAAACCAACGAGAAATCTACCGAAAATTCCAACGCCAAGTGATGTTGATGCAGCACAAATGATAGATCCAACTGAAGCCATGCAACTAAATACACCAACAACAATGGCAGGATCTAAAAGATCTGCAAATAAGCCTGCAAATGGCTGAGTGCAAGCATAGGGATAAAAGTAAATGGCTGAAAATACGCTAATCTTGTTTTCTTCAACTTCATATGTTGCAGAAATTTTCTTTGATAAAACTGAAGTACATTGTTTATGAAAAGATACTAATGCATATAGAATAAGGAGTGCTATGTAGGAATAAAGCCTTGTGCATTGGAATTTCCATCCGCTACATGGTTTTCCTTGAGATTTTATTTCTTCTCCTTCCATAATTTTATGAGGGAGAAAAAAAACGATGAGATGAATTGAAAGTTTATTACATCAGATTTGAAAGGCCTTGAAAAAGCACATTATTTGAAAATATGCCTCAATACAAATCTGGATAACTGAGTTCTCCACGATTACTCCTTCGAAAACAACATTGAAATTGAAATCATCGTAAACAAATCACTTACAGACCTTCAAGCAATCAAAAACAATCCAATTTAAAATCATTTATGCAGTCCGTTTTGAATTTATCACTTGGCCTACAACAATTGGATTTCACGTTCCCATAACTGAAAGAACTGACCATGAAGAACCATACTCACGTGTCGAAATATTAGATATTTCAAGTTGTCTTTCAGATTTTTAAACATTATTGGGATTCAATGATATAGTGTCCTATTGATGAAACGGCCACTGTAACCATACTTAAGCTTACCTATATGTAATATATGATTTAAGAGTCATACATGTGTTTATCAGTATAAGTTCTCAATATCAGATTGTTTGCTTAACATTGTCTCTATTCTAGGTAATGTTTTGTTTCTTAGACAAGTATGTGTTAATATGCGTATGATTAATAGCCTCTAGCTTAAATGTGTTTAGAAATTCAAATTTCAACTTCATATTTTTATTAGTAATTAATAGTATATTTTGAGATATTTAGATTTATCATGAACTAAATATTAATTTGATTCGCCCATCATCCATAACAATCATTTGTTGATTTTTATTCCCTCAATTCAACGATAATTTTTTGTTTTTTGTAAAGTAAAAATGGATGCTCAAGATCTTGAGTATATGTGCAACGTTTTCGTGAATACAAAAAGGCTTGAGGACGCCCTCCAAGCACTGAAAGAGTTGATCGAAATTGATCCTCTATTTGACGCAAATCGAAGACTTATTTTCCAAGTTATTTATAAAAAGATGGCTGATTCAATGCGTGAGTCATTAAGAATACTTTCAATGTACTTACAAGCTGAGAAGAAGCAAGGCCATATAGAACTCGTTCGTGCTCTTGAAAATAAAATGGAAAGCGTTACTCATCAATTAATCAGTATTTGCAAAGAGGGAATTGAAACAATGGAGACTGTCTTAATACCAGCAGCTGAAGGATCTCCAGAATCCACCGCTTTCTTCATCAAATTCAAAGCAGATCTTTATCGTTACATCTCCGAGTTCTCCGATGAAACAGAGTCACTTTCTGCTTTAGATCAAGCTGAAAAACTCTACCAACAAGCTATAGATATCTGCGCTTCCAATTTAAGCAAAAATCATCCATATTACCTTTCAAGCATCTTAAATGCTTCCGTTTTCCAATACGAGCAGCGTAAAAATTTGGCTGCTGCACAGGAAATGTGCAATTCAGCAATTGACCAGTTTGATCAGAATGCAACTGATATTGATCAGAATCAGCTCGATGAATCACGCCAACTTGTTGACCTTATGAGCAAGAACTTGTTCAGCTGGGCCAATATGGTTCCTGAAGATGAAGACGAACAATGAAACAAAAAATAACTTCAAATCATTTTATTCTTTTTTATGTTTTATGAAAAGCCAAAATATTATTATGTTACATGTTCCTTGGTAAAAATTTATAAAATTTTGTTTATGTATTTTAATTTTTTTCGAAAAAATGTGGATTTCTTTAGTTCCATGCACATTACACTGGAATATGTATTATGCATTAGCTGTATTTGACTGCTTTCATACCCTTGTTTTTGTATTATATGAAATGATATGAAATTATTCTTTGTTAACTAAAATAGATCTCATTATTAGCATAAACATCATGAATCAATACTAACATAGCTAAAACAACTATAAATATCAATAATTTCGCCCTGATTTGATTGCAAATTCTACTGAAAAAGCAAATTTTTAAGGAACTAATTGCGAAAACTTGAATAAATTACCTTGTAAGTTAATACTATCCTTTTAATTTGTGATAATATTCAACTTTGAATACCAAAAAAAATCAAAAATTTGAAAAATGAATTGAAAAAATATAAAAATATCATGAAAAAAACAAAAATGAAAAAATTTTGGAATTAGAGATGCACTCTATAATAAATTCTTTTTCAATAATTTTCGTTTTATTCATAACATACAATGACAATTTTTGAGAATATTTATTCATTAAAATTTTGATCACAACATATGTATATTTCATAAATAAGCAATTAAGCAAAACATTAATATAGTAGCCTGCTACATAATTTATGAAAAAATAAAAAAAAAGTAAAAATATCTAAGAATTAAATTTATTTTACGAAGCAAATTATGTAATATCAGCTTTGGGACGAATGTGTAAATAGAATCAAGAAGCTTTTAGTGCTCAATTCACCATTCATTCGAAAATGTTTTTTTGGATTTAGAGCTAAAGCAGTTGTATAATTATGTTAGATAATTATCAGCATTTCTCATAAAAATAAGATGTGTTAATGAGTATAACAATGTTAAGATCTGGAAAGGTTGAATGATTGTCAATCAACATGTTTATTTTTTGGAATCTTGTTGGTTGATGATTTTGAATTGCTGTGGTGGTGATGAACGTAAAAGTTTAGATTCCCAGAGATCAAGGGAAATGGTTGAAAATCGAAATTGAAAAAGTGACATTTAAAAAATGTTATTAGCTTATGATAAAATCAAACAAGAGAGGCGAAGTGGAATTATTAAGATAATTATACTTATCATTGTTTGTATTTCTTGCTTGTGCTTATCTGTTTCAGTGATTCATAAGAATGGATTAATGAATACAATTCAAGCGGAAAACAGACCAGATCATCCAAAATTCATTCAAATTACTAATGCTCCGATGGAAGCTTGGCTTAATAATAATGGAAAAGAGGAATTTCGTACAAGTATTTCTTTTTATAATATTGTTGGTAATGATCAGAAGTTCCCACCAGGCCAGGATCTACGTGGAAAGTTCTGGGAATTCCAAATCAAAGACTATAGCGGAACGACAGCTGTCAACTACATTTCAAATGGTCCATTAACAACAAATAACATCACATTCGAAGTTCTTACAGATAATCAGCAAACACATAATGATAAGCAATTTTGCCAGCGTACACCCAATACATGGAAGCACTTTGTTGAAAAATACCCAGATTATCGTTGGTATTTCAGAGGAACACATGATACATTTGTCAATTGGAAGTATCTTTTGGAACTTATACAAGAACTTGAATCCAAATACGACCCAATGAAGGAAGTAGCTTTAGCCTACAATTGTCATGAATACAATCACAAATTATATCCTCATGGCGGTACAGGCTACCTGTTTTCGAACTTCGCTGTTCGTCAGTTCCTTAAAAGAGAGTCTGAATTCCGCTCTATTTGCTTGGGAAGTGCAGATGACGTTGCTTTCAATTATTTCTTACAGATTCAATCCATCAAAGTCGAGGATTGGATGAGCAATAAATTTATCGTTACGTGGCCAAATACTGAAACAGATATCATTATGAAGAGACAATACGAAAGAGTTGCACAATGTCCTAAGGTTTATCGCTTGTTCTCGAATGCTGCACCAATGCTGCCATGCCCTTGCAGAACTGCGGCTTCAATTCACATGCATAGGGTTCCAATGCCTCAAGCATGGGAAATTCTGCAAAATACACCAAAGAATTTTGCTGTAACGTACTTGAACCCTGATACACCAACATTCTGCAAACTTTCGAAGTAATTGAATTTTATATTATGTAAATTTTTGTAATATTATTCTTTAAACTATATTGTTGCTCATAACATATCTGAACATGCATTTGGCTTTTTACGATTTTTCGGAAATTTAGCATTAATTTGACAGATAAGAATTCAACCGTAAATAAAATCATCTTTGCTATATGCCCTGCGTAGGTGATTAAAATTACCTTGGATTTGATTTATAGTTTTCAATTTTGTGTAAAAATTTTTGGCGCCTGAATCATTGTGATTTTAGTATGTTACTCAAGCATAAGTTGGATTTGATAAGATTTTTCGTAATCTTTAAGCCCGTAAAATTTCTTCTCAAATTAATTTACAAAATCAATGGCGCCATTCAATGCTCACAATTCTAAACGAGAAAATTATGAATTTAATATGAATCAGATATGGTCACAGATTAAAATAAATTCCTCAAAAAAATCTTTTTTTCAAAAAAAAGCTAATTCAAATTTGCAATGGATAGAAAGCTTCCAAATGGAACTACTCCTGTTCGTAAACAAGGAGAAATGCGCTCGAAGTTTACGAAGGAGGAAGATGCGAAACTATTGCAATTAGTTAATGACAGTGGAAAAACTCCAAATTGGAGATCTATAAGTATTGCCATGGAAACAAGGACTCCAAGACAATGCAGAGAGAGATATCAAAATTATTTAAGACCAAATATCGAGCACACCCTTTGGACTGCTGAAGAAGACCAGTTATTGTTACAACAATACGAAATCCACGGTAATAAATGGAATTTAATAGCCAAAACCATGAAGGGTAGAACAGGAAATACAATCAGAAACCGTTTCCTTTCTTTATATCGTAGACAGCACAGATATGATAAGGAAGAACCCGTTGTATTGAAAAAGGATGATGAAATGCCTATCCCTGCTACAGAACAAATAGTCGATTTACCATCACATGTTGGATTTACGCCAATAATCGTTGAAGTTCACACTCCGAAAGTTCGTCTTTATGTACTTCCTCCTGTAAATCAAGAAGCGCAGCATGCAACATCTGTATGATTCTAATGTTAATTAAATTCTTAATTTATTATTTGTATTCCACATTTATCCAATTTTATTTTTATTTACTATTAACTTCTCATGCGTTCGTTCCGGTTTACAAAGTTATCCACTTTATGATTGTTAATATCGAAAAGTTAATGTTCAGAATTCAAATTATGAAATTTTATTTGTTAATTATACTAAACTAACATCTAGATTGATTGAATATACATTAGAAAATTCTCAGTCAATCAAATGAAAGGTTTCAAAGTAAAACCTTTTATCAAAATAAAAAAATTACAATATCAAATGAATTCATTATAAATAAGTCATACAACAAAAAATAGAAATGTGTGTATTCATAGAGAGCAATATTATAGATCGCAGAAAACAGAAATAACAAAATTAATTTGTTGATACATCCCAAATGATAAGAATATAGTTAACTGCATTTGTAAAGCATCTGTATGATTAGAAAGTGTTGTCATGGAGAAGAACAATGAATTCAATTTCTGACATTAGAGAGGGAATGTATCAGTGAGTGTCACTTTTGTTACATGATGGAAAATTCTTCATCTGAATTTACACCAATAGAAATCATAGATAATGAAACAAAAATAGCAGATTTACCAGAAAATGTAAGGAAAGTCACTCAAGATCAAGTCTTATTCGTGAAAGGAATAACGAAGAATATAACGAACGAAGAATTTATCAAATTCTTCCAAAAATCAGGGAGAATACTCGCATATAAGATTAATAAAAACGACACAGGGGCAGATTTCTATATAGCTTACGTAGCTTTTGAGAGAAAACATGATGCGCTCGATGCTTACAATAATCTGGATAGAACACCATTAATGGGTAAGAGGATAAAACTTCTTTGGTCCGAAAAGAACTTCATAACGAGGGAAAATTTCGGAGTCCGAAATGATCCTCGTAAAGTAGAAAAATACACTCCTCCTTCAAACCCTCAATTGCGTGATAATATGGAAACCAAACGAGCTGAATTACTTAGACTTGTTCAACATGAAATTGAAACAAGATATAAAATTAAAGCAGAACAAGAGAGACAAAACCAACTACCTGAAGTACAATACGATCGTCCTCCTTCTTATCAAAATTACGATAGGCAATACCATGAAAGAAGAGATAATTATAGAAATGAACGAAGTGAACCATACAACGACAGAAGATCATATAGGAATGAATCACAAGAGTACTCTCGTCCACCTCCACCACCTCAAGATAGATATGATCGCGAAGAATATAGTTATAGACGTCCAGAAAGAGAAGAATACAGAAATTACGAAAGACCACCTGAAAGAAAAGATAGCCATTACGATGATAGATATGATTACAAAAGACAACCTAGTAGAGAAGAATACGATCGAACAGAACGTGAAAGATACCATAGACAAGAATATCATCGCCCACGAACAGATGATTACTATAATTCAGATAAAGGCCGTCCTCGTTAGAACATTTTGTGAAAATAGAGTTCGAATTTTATTAAATCATTTAATTAATGTAATTTTATGCATTTGAATTGTAATATAAAGAATTTTAATCTTTAAATATAACATATTTCTTTGAATCAAATGAAATTAAATTAGATTTGAAAAATTTATCAGTATTTTCCATAAATAGACAAAATTGGATTTAACAACCCATCAAAATTGGAACTTTTAAACACATATCCTCTATTATTAACTCTAAATCACTTCTTAATTTTGAAGATTTTATTTCAATTTTTTAGATATCATTTGCATAATACATGAGTTAATCTTCACATCTTATATATAATTCATTAACGAAGTTATTCAATCACAATTCATATTATCACTGCTCGAGATCTTCGATAAAAGTGAAAATAAAAAAAATTATGGAAGAGCAGTCGCAAGTAGAAATTTTATTAGAAGAGATGCGCAAAAACAATGGAAAGATCGTTGCACATCCATACATGTATGTCAGTGCTCTTCATAATAAATCTGCTTTTTATCCAGTTGATACAGAAGATACGTTTTTTAAAGAAAATAACATAGAGGTATTAGATCTTGCAAATGGAGATGAACCTGAAGAGTCTAACGAAAATACAATGAAATATGTCGTTTCTTTGGACGAGGCAGGAAATTATCGTCATGTTATTGCAAAGAAATAAGAAAATTACAACATAGCAATCAACAAAATACATTTTACACTTGCCTACACTGCAGTTGAAAGAATATTAAAATATAAATGATTCAAATTATCTCGAAATTTCAAGGATTTTCCCCTTGATATGCAGCGATAATGCATACTTTAGTGTTGCCTGCTTTAAAATTGATTTAGGCACCTATAATTTTGATAATCATTACGAGAATTACCGAATTCAGTAAATTAAATCTTTCATACACACTCATGATATTTTTACATAAAAAAATTAATATTTAAAACCGACTATCAACAAATGATCTTTTTTTGTGAATTTATACAATTCAATATTGATTTCTTTATGCTTATAAAACATAACACTCTCTTTAGATATCGTTTTCAAAGTAAGAGAACATTTATCAACACTATGAGCTCATAATTCCATTTTATTGAATATAAATCAGGATGTTTTGAAATAAATTCATCTTGGATAAGGTGAAAAAACATTCTCATATGTGAGGAAAACCAAGCACAGTGTTGGTGACAATAACATATGTGCAATAGAGGTTGATCAAAGAAGATGAATAATTTCGTAGAAAGTTAATGGCATTGACTCTACAGATATGACATAAACATCAATTCAACTTTGATACAATTAACTTTTTCATTTACCCTTTATCTATTCAATTATTTTCGCACCAAGACCAATAAGATTCCCTAAAGTGAAATAATTGAAGAAGGAGACCTTGTTAATTGAAATTTAACAAGAAAAAACTTAATTTTCATTTCTTCTATAAGGAATATTTTGTTCAGATGACAGCATTATAAATAATTTCTCTCTATCTTTTTACGCTCAATACTAATCATAGCTCTAAGAATATTTGCAATTTCAATTATGGTTGTCCAACTTTATCTTCGTTTGTATAGCCTCATGATTTCAGGCTTATGCAAAACCTGTGTGTTTTTATAAATAAGAGTTTCATATAAAGGCAAATTGTACATATAATATGACTCAGTAACATTTTCTTTTTTGGAAATCTTTGATAGCCGATTATAATTATCGATGAAGCTATTAGTTAAGGAAACATAAGGTGTGTATCCATCAGTCCCTCCTATAACATTTCCACCACACCCGTTATTGAATATTGCACAATTGTCAATATAAACATTATTTGCTCCGCCATAAAATGCAATTATTCCATTTAATTAAAGATGTTGCAGTAACTCATATTTAGATTTGCATCAAATCCTATGATTTTGGTCATTTGTGTTTTTATCAAACAATATAAGGAATATTTAGCAATAACTGGATTCTTTGGAGTTTTAAGATAATATGCAACAACATCTCTAGCAAGTACATCAGTCATATTTATGTAACTAATTTCAAGGTTATTTGCTTCATTGTTATAAACACATGAGCCAATAGTGATGTCATTTCCAAGTTTACAATAAACGCCTTCACGTATTGTACAATTTTCAATAAAAGTACTGCCATCTTTATATTTAAGTTTAACGTGATGACATGTGTGTTGAGTGGTACAATTTAAAGCGACTGTTCTGTATTCAACATAACGCGCATTGGAAAGAATATTTATATTAGCTGCATTGGATTCTGAATTCGAATTGTAATTTTTTTGGAAAATCGAGTTCGATATTAAAAACTTAATCGAGTTATCTTGCTTAATATTAATTACTGTTTTTGTATATGATTTGAATCCACAAAAATCAATGAAATAATTGCTAGCTGTTGTATCAATATTCGGATTATTTTTATTTTGTATCGAATTTGATGGTAGATTATCATTAGGAAAGAACTGCTTCCATAAATCATCACTCGATGAGCAAAATCTAAAAAGAAGTATTAGAAATACCGTAAATGCAGACAAAAAAAAATACTTGTAAGGTCAGATTTATTTCAATTTTTGAATCATCGATACAAAAGTAAGCCATTCAAAATGATTTTGAGAATTTATATCTTATGTAAATAATGGATCCATATTATATTTACACCTCACCTCAAATTACTCAATTCAATTTCACCTTATTGCAATTTCGTCACTTTTTATAGTTTATGATGTGCCAGTAAATCTTCGTTTCTCAGAAAATATGCAAAAACAACTGTGGAAGCACGTACTAACTGCACGAATACCGAAAAAACTCGATAGTACGGGGAAAAACTCAGTAGTACGATTATTTTCCCCTCAAATCCACGATCGCACTTTCTAGGTTAATTTGAGTGTAAAAATAGAACCTAGGTTAATTTGAGTGTAACTATTTAGATTCTAAAAAACATGTGATGATGCCTAAAAAAAGAGTATCGCAATCAAATGCAAACAAACAAAGAGAGTACATGCCGAAGATGTCATACAAATCGTAAAATATGACTCTTTGGTTTTGCAAAATAAACAATTGTTTAATTAGGAATAAAAATATCGTATTTTTGCATTTTATAAGTTGTTTAGCCTTCCTTATCTGTTATTTGAAGGTTTTTCAAGCTTGGACTCACAATTCACTGAGATTAAATGAAGTCTGGGTGCTAACGTATGAAAAAATTGAGGAACTGTCACTTTTCTACTACCGAGTATTCTGGCCACTAACGAATTTTTTAGGTCACTGTATATATTTTCAACTCCATGCACACATTAAACATTATATGGATTTGAAATATACGCAGTAACTCCTCTAAATTGATAGAATGCATGCAAAAATTTGATTTAAATTAAATTTAGATTTCAAGACTTAGAGCGACTAAAATTCCTTATATAGAGGGTATTTATAATAAATTTGAATAAAATCATATTATATAATATCAAGTATTGAACGCAATTTACCAAAGTCTATTTTTGAATTTTACTTTGGTAAAAAAGGTGCAAACAATATGTATAGATATTTGCATAACTATACCACTTTAGTTATCATCATAAACAGCTAAGCAAAACTAATGATATGGAGTGGGAAAGTTAGTGTCTTTTCTATCAAGATTAGTTAAAAATATATATAAATGAAGAGCACTGAAATATATATTCGTAGCATTTCAATTCTTTCATAAGTTGCTTGCCATATGAAACAAATATAATATTATCACGCCATTGTTCCACTAATAAATGCAATAAAAGAGTATTTTTTTAAACTAGAATTGAATGCGTAATGAACTAATTTCGGTGTATTGGAAATGCATAAAATCTTATTTGAGAATTTATGTAGTTAGGTTTTATACACAGAATCATCGCTTTCTCAAATGATTTTTACTATATACAGTTTGCTTTTGAGAATGCTAATCTGGGAAGAAAACAAATCTAGTCATATTCTTAAATTCTGTAAGAGAATGCATTTTTCGTTTGTTGTGTAATATATTATCTGTTGGAATACTTACTAAAATTCATTAAAATAAGTAATTCAAATCAAAAGCTATTTTTTTGATGTATTTTGAAAAAGCAGGATCTGATTTAGACAACTCTAAATAGATCTTGAAGTGATTCTAAGTTATTATCTATTTTAGTCTGTTATCCTTATCTTCTTTTATATAGTCTATTTAAAAGAGAAATATGGGCAATCTGAGTATTTTTGTATATATCAGTTTCGAATAATGGAAGGTCATATGTATAATATGAATTAGTTACGTTAGATGTATGAAGAGTAACTCTTGCACCAGCCTTATAATGATCAATATAACAATTATTGATATGTAATTGCATTGTTTTATCTGGATTTTTTCCTATTGTATTATCTCCACATCCGTTATAGTATATTGCGCAATTATCAATATAAACCTCTGTTGCTTGACCATAAAATGTAATTATTCCGTCACTACAATCACCAGCTGAATTATTAAAAATATTGCAATAACTCATATTTAGTTTGGCATCAAATGCGAAGATCCTAGTTTTATTTGATTTTAACCTACAATATAAAGAATATTTTGCAATGACTGGATTCGTTGGGGTTTTAAGATAATAAGCTGTATGATCTTTAGCAAGTACATCAGACATATTTATGTAACTAATATTGAGATTATGGGCTTCGTTATTAAAAACGCATGAGCCAATCGTGATGTCATTTCCAAGTTTACAATAAATTCCTTCAAGAACTATACATCTTTCTGGGTATATTGAATCATGTCCTACCCAACGTTTAAGTCTTGAATGATGATAGTAGAATTTTGAAGTACAATTCAATGCGACTATCCTATATTCAACATAATTTACGTTAGCAACAATATTTATATTTGTTCCTTTGAGTTTGTTATCAGAATAGTAATTTTTTTGGAAAATTGAGTTTGCAATTAAAAATTTAATCGAAATATCTGATTGATTAATATTGATTACATCAGTTAAAATTGATTTGAATTCACAGCGATCAATGAAAAACTTATTAGCGTTTGAATCAATTTTTGGATTTTTTGTATTTTGTATCGGATTTGGTTGTTAATCATCATTTGAAAAGTACATCTTCCATAAATCATCATTCGATGAGCAAAATCTAAAAAGAAATATTAGAAATGCTGTAATATCAGACAAAAAAAAGTATTTGTAAAGTCCAACCTTATTATTTAAGATTTTGAAAATTTAGAATAAATATGATCAAATTCATTATAAAGAACAAATGATTTCGATTAATATCAATAAATTTCAAAGGACTCATTCATTATTTTGAATAGTTTTTCTCAATTGCATAAATTACGAGGATCTCTTCCATTTTTAACCATGATACAATTGTTTTCATCCAATATTGATGTGCTCAATATACGTAAGTGTCCATATGGGTGCATAATGTTGATCAAAATTTAATCTTAAGTTTTTCAGACATTGAGTTAAAACTAGGGCTTATTGAGACCTTAAACTTGAAAATTCGATGCTATTGTATTTCCCAATTTCGATATTTTATCGATAAAATAAAAATTTCAGAAATATTCTTATCGAAAATAGGCTATTGATTTTTTTATAAAATAGCATTATGCATTTAAGAAATGAAAAATATTGATTTGTTTCAACTCCATCTTAATTAATAAGTGAAAATATGATAATATTGTTTCAAACTATAACATAGCACTTCAAAGCTACGATATCTGATATTGCCTTAATTATTTTTGCCCAATATCACTTCGAATTATATCCTGTATTTTTCAAATTGTGGAGAAAAAAAAATTGAAAAGTGGAAAAAAATTGAATTGTGTACAAAATGAGTGTAGTAGCAATTGCTAGTTTTTTTTGATACAATTTGATATAGCAGGATCTAATGCAAAAAATCAATGACTTTTTTTAAAAAGAAAATCAATTATGAATGAAACAGCTTCCCAGAGATTTGAACTGATTTTTAGATATTATCTATCTTTTGTTTGTCAACTTTATCTTCTTTTATGATGTCTTCCTTTAAGTGAAAAATGGGCAATCCGAGTTCGTATTTTGGAAAATAAAATAGTAACATTATACGTATGAAGAGTAATATTTGGAACAGGCTTATAATAATTAATGAAGCAATTAGAGAGATATAAATTCATTTTTGGGTTCCATCCTATTGATAAATCTCCGCATCCATTATTGAATATTACGCAATTTTCAATATAAACATTTTTTGCTTGGCTAAAAAATGCAATTATTCCATTACTACAGTCTCCAACAGAATTATTAACAATATTGCAGTAACTCATATTTAGATTTGCATCAAAGAATATGATTTTGGTTTTATTACATTTTATAAAACTATATAAGGAATATTTAGCAATAACTGGTTTACTTGGGACTTTAAGATAATATGCAGCAACATCACTAGCAAGTACATCAGTCATATTTATGTAAATACGCTTCATTGTTATAAATACAAGTACCACATTTGATGTCATTTCCAAGATTACAATAAACTCCTTCAAGAATTGTACAACTTTCTGGGTAATTGTTATAAGTATTTTCCCGATATTTAAGTCTTGAATGATGATACCACTTTTTCGAAGTACAATTCAACGCTACTATCCTGTATTCAACATGATTTACGTAAGCGATAATATTTACATTAACTCCTTTGCATGTTTCATCTGAATAATAGTTCTGACCGAAATTTGAGTTTGCTATTAAAAATTTAATCGATTTAGTAGCTTGATTAACATCAATTACGACATTTAAAAATGAGTTGAATGCACAATGATCAATGAAATACTTATTTGCCGTTGAATCAATATTTGGATTATTTTTATTTTGTATCGAATTAGGTTGATTATCATTAGGAAAGAACTGGCTCCACAGATCATCATTTGACGAACAAAATCTAAAAAGAAATATTAGAAATGCAAGAAATGCAGTCAATTTAAAAAATGGATTGCTAAAATCTGACCACATTTATTCAAAAAATGAATAATAATTAAAATTTATAGGATCGAATGGCCATATATTTAGAACGCTATCGATAACTTCAAATATTTTCAAAGATCTCATTCATTTTTTTAAATAAGTAGCGTTTTGAAAGTATTCAAAAAGAATAAAATTTTGACTTTTTAATCACACAAAATTTTATCAAAGAGTTTCCTTGTGATCATCAACTTTGTTGTCTATATTCGTTGTCAGATTTCTTCAAAATTTATGAACCTTTTGATTATTTGTTGACGAAACTCATTTAAATCAGCTTGCAAAGGTTGAGTGTTCATGCAACAAAATTGCACATTTACAATAATAAAAGCTTTTAGATTTTTTGTATGACATTATGCTTTCCAAGAACATCTGCTTAGGCAAGAAGAGCTCCCTTGGCAACTTCAGCTGCCTTCTCCTTAGAAATGAGAGCTTCGATGAGGGCAAGACCGAATTGTTGGGATGTTCCTGGACCGCGGGATGTGATGATGTTTCCATCACGTGTAACTGCATCTGTTGTAATCTCACCACCTGTTTCGGCAATTGGACCATCACAGCCTGGGTATCCGCAGCCTTTCTTGCCTTTCATGATTCCGCATGCCTGAGCAAGGACGAAACCTGGAGCAGCGCAGATGGCAGCAACTAATTTGCCAGCCTTTTCATGGCGCTTGATGAATTCGACAACATCTTGGTTTGCGGCAAGATTCTTTGTTCCTGGCATGCCACCTGGAGAGACAACGAGGTCGTATGTTTCGTTCTTGACATCGGCGAAGAGGACATCAGCAACAATCTTGATGCCATGAGCTGCATCAACCTGTAAGCCTTCAGTTCCGACAGCAGCAACCTTAACATCAGCACCAGCACGGCGGAGAAGATCTGTTGGGTTAACAAGCTCCATTGGCTCGAAACCAGTAGCGGCAAGAACAAGAACTTTAGACATCTTGTAAAATAAAATTAAAAAGGTGACATTTATTCTGAAAAGTCACATCACAAATTTCCCATACTGCATAATTATACTATTCATATGTAAATGAGTAATATGAGAAGTAACCAATCATAATGTCACTTTTCATCCCTTTCAAAAATTGAAATAAAAAAAATCTTTGAATATTTGCTTTACAAACAAACAAAAATCATGGATAAATACTTAGGGTGCCATGCAAATCAGGGATTCAGTAGCGATTATTTCTTGCAATAAGAGAAAATGTTAATTTAATCTTTTTGCTCTACTAAGGATCTATTCTTTTCTGCAACCATCCTAGCCCATTTTTCACGGTTGAGCTTTGCTTGAAGTGAGAGTTCAAGAGCATTGCTTGCAACGCTAAATGTTCCTGAATTAGTTGAAGTGAAATCTTCTGTTGAAAGAAGGATCTCAGTAGGATCGATACTCATTCTAATATCTCTTGCATCAGCAAATTTTCTTGTTTTATTTTCTTCTTTGGAATCCAAAGGTAAAGGTTCAGATTCAGTTGTTGAACAAGAACTTATTGCCTCAGACGAGGTATAATATGTATCTGAATGAATACAAAATGCCTGCTTAAGTTGAGCATTAATCTGGAATCGATCATATGATGCATGAATTGCCTGACGCGTAAGTGAAGATCGTTGTGGAGTAACATTTGATACAACATTTTCTGTTACACGCTCAAGTTTTATTGGAGTTGCTTGTGATTCACTTTCAGATGATAGAACATCACTGATTGTTTCTTGATTACATATTATTGGACTATTTTCTAGAACATTTAGTTGTTCATTATCATCTTTTGTTACTCCAAATGAAATGTGTCGATTTGAATCAATAGCAAATGTATTATCAACAGATGAATCGGATTCCATATCATTTTTATATGATCGCAAACTATCATGTAGAATTGAACGTTGTTTCGGTATATTTTCATTATGATTTTCGTTAATCTTAGTCAAAGGAACATGAGTAATTTGTTCGAGATTAGAATTTTCGGATTTAATTGATTTGCTAATCTGAAAATCTTGTAATTTTTGTTCGTTTATGTCTTTAATCTGTTGATTATTAACTTGAGTAATTGTTGCAAATTTGTTAGTAGTATTATTACTTTTACTTGATTTCCTTTGCGATGGGTCATATTTTAGCTTTTTATCATCTTGCTTTGGAGTTATTGAAGTTAATTCAACCTTATGACGTATTGTATCAAGCCAAAAGAAGTTGTTTTTAGAAAATATATCTAGCATTTCGCCTTGTTGTTCAAGATCAGTTTCAAGTTCTTTACATATTGATGAAAACGAAAGCATGAATTTTTTTGCAAAACGTGCACAAATCAATGGAATTATTTCAAATATGTTATGTCGAAATAATTCATTCTTAACGGATTCACCAGTTTCATTCTTATTTTTAGAAATCGATGCTAATAATTCTGGAAAAGAAATTCGATTATAACATCCAGATCAATTTAATTAGAAAATCAATTATCTACAATGAGTATATTTCATTTATTAAATGTTGATGGCTTTTACAATATCAGATTATGAATTCAAATGTTGTAATCCTGTAGATAGCTCTTTACTGAACTTATTCAGCCTAAGTTACAAAAAATTAGCATGCTATTTCAATATGTAATTATATATTTCAAATATAGAATAAAAAAATTTCATCAAATTACTTTTTGTTTAATTTTAATTAGTAATTCTTAATTGATTCAACACATAAAGCTCTGAGTATTGTAAAAAATAAGATTAATTTCATTTGAATAAATATAATTTCAATCAAAAATATTTTACTTAGCCTGGAGCATCTGTTCTAACTGTGCCTTCAACTGGTTTGTTTGTCTCTTCAAGAAAGCTGTTTCATCAGCATGTTCTTTTTCTTTCTGAGCTCTGTAATCTTCTTCGCGCTTTTCAATAGCTTCTATCTGTGCTTGAAGTTCTGCAGATCTTAATTCGAGTGCTTTCTTTTCCTCTAAAAGTTTAATATTTTCAGCTTCGACTTCATCTTTTCCAGCTTCAACAGCTGTAGCTTTTCTCATACCCCAGTTAATAGCTGATTCATATAATGCTTGATATGCTGCAATAGTAGTTCGTAATTCATCACGAACACGTACAAGTAATAAGCCACGAGAAGGGCAGTCAATTGTAACTTGGCGGATAATTTCATCGAAGCACTGGCCATAAAGTTCAGAGCGAACAGGGCAAATTCCTTTATCGCGTGCTTTTCTTTCTTCTAACATTTTATCTAATTGTGCTTGAAGTTCGATAACGTCTGTTCTTTTTGCTGGTGTTGTGCTAACATATTGAATAAGATTTTCTCCATCGACTGTATATTCACGTGGAGGAAGAATTGAATCTAAAACATCGCGAGAAAGGGCGTCAGAACCAGTTTCTCCTGCCTGTGGAATCTGCCTTGTCTTTTTAGGTTGTCCACCAGCAGCAACTGGTGCATCAAATTTCAAAAGTGTTGGTTTAGGTTCTTCGCTCATTCCAAAAAATAACGGATATCTAAAATTACTCAAGCTCACTTTGAGTGAATGAACATCAAAACCAAAGAAAACCAAGACTACAGATACAATTACTTCAAGAAATAATTCAGATCTATCTTAACATTATTACAATTACTCATAAAATTTACCATAATTCTAAATTCCTTCTACAAAATTTTGATATTTCATACAGTGTTTTAATGTAGGTTGTTTTATTTATACATTTCTTGGATTAAATATACAATTTTGTAACCATATACCCAAAATTCCAATAGATATATTTCTCTTTATTTTCTATCTTATTCTTGCACATGATATAACATACCGATCAGACATAAAGTTATTTTTAAGCACTGTCCTTCATATATTTAATCTATTCTCATAAATCTTTTAATTTCATTATATTTATCAAATTTCTGCTTTAATTCTTACTTGAACGCATATAAAATGGTTACAAATCATGTTTTTGCATGAATTCAATCTAGATTGGATAATATGGAGTAAATATTTTTATTTATGTGAATTCTTCATTAAACAGATGATATACTTCTAGATTAATAATTTTCTGTAGTTAAATATTAACAAATTATATATATGAAGCTTATATGAAGCCCTTTTAATATGGATTCTTATTTGATAGAATTCTTGATGATGAATCTGCTATAATTCTCAAAAAACATATGTCATCTAGTAGTTGTAAATGATTTTATTATATACATTCTTCTTAAATTTAGTTTTTTGAGTTGATATTTTTAACATAAACCAAGAAATCAAAAACAGAGCTAATAGAATTAGAAAAATATAAATATTTAATAATAAAATTATACAACAACAATAAAAATATATAATATGATAGAAATTAATTAAATTTTTCAGAATAATAAGTTGAAATCGAAATCCAAATCGACATGGTCAGCGTCTCTCTTTGCGTTTCTGTAAATAGTTCCATCATACATCTCCATCTTCAGTTTCGTGAGCAAATTCTGGTTCAAGTACAAATCGTCCATCAAACTGAGTCCGATGTCTTGGTCGCCCCTCTCAGTCAAGTAAATCGAGCCCCATTCGATCATAAGTGTCCGGTGGGAGTAATAAATTACAGCACTGGCACTTTTTCCTGTCAAAACCAAGAAAATTGGGAGCCCGTGTTTGCATCTGTGGCTTCTCGCTTCTCCTGTCTTGCTCTCGAAGAAATATGGGTACCTCAAACTGTTATTTTTCTGAGATATACTGAAGAATTCGCCGCAGCAGAGGCATCTAGCGATATCCATGCTCCTGAGCCACATAAACCTCGACTGGAAATCGTTTTCTGCAAAGAAATATTGGGAAAATCGTGGATATGCATTATCCAAGAAAATTTTCGGTTCAAATCGATCAGAAAGGGTCAATCCATGGATAACCATAGCATTCTGAGGTTTTTCTGTCTTTTCTGATGGTTCTTGTTCAGTTTTTTCTTCATTTTCGTTTGGTATTTTTTGAATTTCAGGGATCGGAATCAATTCTTTGTCATTTAATGCATTGATCATCATTGCGCATCTCCTTACGAATGTTCTTGGAGGGTTTTCTCCGAAAATCGTCTTAATATTATTCCAAAATTCTTCTTCTGTTTTATTTTCGAGTTTTATGAACTGTTCGATCTGCGGGGTCTGCGATTTCCTTGGTAACGGGTGATCTCCTGGCGGTCCTCTTGCGATTAAACAGATAGATTTCTCAGCGCTGATTTCGGCTTGAGAATAATGCCTTTTCTTGCTGATTCTGTCTGTTATCTCCTTCTTTCTGAAGTAACTTGACAAAAGAGAGGCAGGATGGCATTTGTGTCCTGCGGTTCTTAAAAATAATTCGAGGACAGGAAATTCCGCTTTATCTGCTTCTTCCGAAATGCCGAGCACAGGCAAGAGAACGGAGCTCTGCTGTCTGCAGAGAGGACATTGAGTCCAAAGGCGGCCTTCTGGTCGAGATTCATTGAAACAAGTCAAATGAACGTAATGAGGACAAAAAGAGAACAAAGGAACAGTAATATCATTCATTTCATTGACATCATCACCATAACTTGGATCAATTCTTGCAAGAATTCCGTATATATCTTTTCCAGGAGTTAATTCTTTCTTACAGAAGGCACAGACGAGTTCTTTCTCTTCCTTCTCTTCATCATCACTCGTTTCGCTGAGAGATTCTATGTTGAATTGCTCGAATTCTTCTAATCTGCTCATAAATTGGCTGATAATGGCCTTTCTGTTGATCTTTGTCTTATTACTCTCATCTGCGTTCTCAAACGGACTCGTTATCTCATGGATTTTCTCTTTCAAATGTGGAAATTCGGTCTGAATTATGTCAAATAGCTCGAGAAGTGGTTTTCCGAGCGTTTTCTGCGACATAATCTTCTGATTAACTAATATACGTAAACAGGAATCATCTTTCTCAATAAGTGAATTGGGGAAGTTGTCACTTTTATCGTAAACCGAACATTTAATTCCCATGTGAACTAAAGCCAAGAAACACTGGAACATTGTGGAGTTAATCTCATCCATTGCAGCTATGTTTCTCGCGATAGTGTCCATGAAGAGAATAAATCCCTTTTGGCTGACGAATTTCGGAAGATTTGGGAAAATTAAGTGCTCAACATCAGGAGTTGAGACTAATTTGGTCTGGTTTCCTTCGAGTTCTTGTGCAAGGGCGGAGTAGAACTGCGTAGTAAGGTAAAATGGGAAGAATGGAGTGCGCTGGGACTTAAATTCTGGTTTTAGCTTATACAATGTAGATTTTTCGTTCTTTACGGTGATTGCGATCTCATCGAGTAACGCATTCCACTCTTTGGCCGTCATTCCGAACACGGCAATTTGAGATTTGATTTCTTTCGCTGTAGAAGTATGCAAATACAAGAAATGGATGACTGACATGCGCTGCCTTGTCATCTTCTCCGTTTCAAAGAGTTTCTGGATAGTTTCTGAGAGTAAATGAATGAAAAATCTGAATAATAAAATTAATTGGTCTTGTAACTCGATGCTTTGGTTAATTTGAGTTGTCGCCAGCCAATTTGATAATCCAAAGCTATGAACAACAGTTGCTATGAACTCTGTTGCATCATTTTCTGTTGATATTAAATATTGGAATAAAGAATAGAAAGAAATCAAAGTTGCTGGTGGCTGTTTGGATAAGTTGATTTCATTGGCCACTTTGGGAACGTTTTCGGCATTTCTGACGTAAGCATTTGCTTGAGCTAATCCAATAGCGGCAACAGTTTCAATTGGATGGACACAGAGTGGCAGGAGAGACTGTAGACCAATCTCCCGGATGAATATATTAGGATCAAGCTTGTAAAAGTTGTATAACGAGAAAATCAAAATATGTAAGAAAAGATTCAATGGCAATGAATAAGAAAATTCAACAGTAAGGGCATTGAGACCTGGGAAAGTGATCCCGAACACAGAAGATTCGACTTTTACGATGTTTCTGCTCTCATACCAGTCCAAAAAAGTTTTTACGGCTGGACGTACGATATCGTATAGAATGGCCGGGTCAGGAGTGGTCAGTGAAGTGAATCCGTGTACGAAATTTTTGATCGATTTCCAGATATTCGTCAATGAGATCTGTTGTAGCTGAACTGACGAGTTATTGTAGGCCTCCTTATCGCCAGTCTTGCGTACAATGGCACAGGCAAACTGAAATGTCTCTAGAAGCTTGATAAAAACCATTCTTGAATCTAAATTTTCAATTGCCCAGTATTTGGCGCATTCCAGGGATGAAGTACTTTGTATAATTATTGAGAATAAAGGAATGCAGTAGATATCTATCATTTTGTCTTGGGATATTTTGGAAAATGGAATTATTTGTTCGATGAGTTTTGGAATCAAATTCTGCTCTTTAATCATGTACAGAGAGAATTCTGGGTCAATGTATGATAAAGCTACGACGTCAAATAGAGATTTGATAATTTTATTGTTTTCTGCTGTAAATTCAAGAAATTTCGATACTAGAGGTATTGATTTTTCTCCTAGCTCCCGCAAGAACTTGGTATTACTTGTTAAAACTATGAATAAACCTAAAATTGAGTTGGATGAGTTACTTGGAGAATGAGATAGTGATTCTGCTATCTTTATTAGATTTTCTGAATTATTTTTCGTAAAGGATTCCGCTATTAATGGCAAAAAGGAGTCACCTAAATTGGCCAATGAAGTTAACCATTTAATAACTTCGTATGCTAATTCTATTGGATACACATTGACTAGGAATTGGACCATAATATCAAATATCTGACTAAATAGTTTAATCTGTGCTTCTGTAAAAATTTTTGTTGTTGAATTTTCGGAAATTCCTTTGTGATTGTGACAGAAACATTTGGAATCAACAAGTTCTTTGTGTCCGCAAAGGCACATGGGCAGTACATTTTGAGATATCACGTATTCGTGACCTTCATGGTTTCCTTTCATGAAACACTCGATACAAAAGCTACCTGACTTATTCCCCATGCATGTTTTGCATGATACGTTAAGAACATGGCTGCAAAAATGCTTAGAACACATAGATGTTTCTGATTTACTTTTAATTTCCTTTTTAAACTCGGAAAATTCCTTCAGACCATCATTAGTCATCAAAAGCTCTGCAAAGCGGATACCTTCCTTGACACTAACATCTAAAGTGTCTCGGAGCAATTCCACCATTACTTTTTTTTTTCTAAAATTTTCCCCGCCTTTCTAAGAAAATGGAAAAAAATATTGGAAAATTAAAAATATGTAAATTATTCAGTTATGTCGTGCTAATATCAATTGCTTTATACAATTAATCGTTTACAAGCTGCAAAAATCGAACAATAATTTGACTTTGTAAAAAAAGTGCGTCATTTTTATTCGTTATACTTACAAAATGTAAACATTACGAGAAACATTTACATTTGTAAATGTAACAAGTAAAGTTGTATCGCATAATTTGACTTTGTAAAAAAAGTGCGTCATTTTTATTCGTTATACTTACAAAATGTAAACATTACGAGAAACATTTACATTTGTAAATGTAACAAGTAAAGTTGTATCGCATAATTTGACTTTGTAAAAAAAGTGCGTCATTTTTATTCGTTATACTTACAAAATGTAAACATTACGAGAAACATTTACATTTGTAAATGTAACAAGTAAATACATCAGATTTAAATTGTAAATGTAATTTATCTCTCTCATCTCCTTTTTAAAAGGTATTACATACATACGAACGCATGGGTCACTCAATAATTAGCGTGATAATAATTGAGGATAGACTGTAATCGTAATTTTATTTTTGGACTTATATTTCGACATTTTGAAGTCGCTTGAAAGTCTTGCAAATGATTAAATTTGGAAAATTTGACCTAAGTCTGCATTATTTTGATGACTTAAACAATTCTATAAATCTGTTTTCCTAAAAATTTAAAAAGATATAATTTCAATTTCCCTAAATTTATGTAATTCATATATCACCAAAATATTTGGACTGCATTTCGTTTGTCTGCACCTAATTAAAGTCTAAATACCAATTAATTTTGGAGTTGCATTGCTTTTAATGTAAAAATGCACGTTTAGAAAAAGACGATAACGATTAAATTACAAAATCGATAACCTCTCGAATCCAAATCTGACGTTTTCGTTATCGAGCGTCTCCCAGAAGAATGCGCCATGATCTTCTGCGATGGTGATGAAACAGTTCTCGAAAAGGCCAGAGCTGTCCAAAACAAGTATGGCATCCAAGGATTTGCAGGTGACATGAAAGTTATCACAATCAACAACTACGGCCAAAGCCCTAATGCCATCTTAAACGAAATCCTCGGAACAATCTTTGGAACAAAGAATGTTACACCAGCTGACATCCAGCACCTTGCCAATACTTCTGGTGTCGTAATTTATCTTAAATCCACACCAGATCTTTGCATGGAAAGAATGAGAAAGCGTGGTCGTGGTCCAGAAGCCAAGACAAAGTACTCATTCATCGAAGGAATGTGCAACAAGTACGAAAACTACATCAACCGTTTCACAAGCGTTTAAGCAAAATTGTATTATTCTCTCTTAATTAAATATCTACTTTATTATATCTTATTCACATTTTTAATGGAAACAAGCTTGGCAGGATACCAAATTGATTACAATTCTCAGAACTTGATCGCATGATACTGTTCGTTCATTAAAAATTTAATAACAAAACATTATAGCATACATTTTCGCTAAACAGTGTCACTTATTTCAGTTGTTCATTATTCCTTGACATCGTTTCGTTAAAATTGGATTGTAATTATCACATTCATATCTACAACATTGAAGTAATTGCTAAACTTGCAACAATATGGCATATTCTGTTTGAGGTTGACCTTATTGATTCATTCTGAACAGAAAGCTTAAAAATCACAACTATAACATACACTATAGGTAGAATTTCATGTTACATTTTTAATTTAGTTGCCTATGAAACATTTTCAGAGGACAAATATTGAAATGCCATTTTTATTGTCATTGCCACAACATCATGCCAGCTATTCTAAATTGCCCCAGCTAGTACTCTGAAATTTCTTACCAATTTCAGAATTTAAGCATATTTGACGTATTGCGGAATTCAATTATTGTGACCATCTCGTTAAACTAGCATTTATGTTATCTATATACGATCTAATCCTATTTTTATCATATAAAGTCATCCCTTTAAAGTTCATTATTTTGGCATTTTTTTATATTCATAGTTCTGTTTGCAAGACATTTAACAATCACCTTAAAATGAGCAAAGTAATAGTATATTTCAGTTAGAATATCCAATCAAATACATTAATTAAAATATTTTTAATTTCTTTCAAAATTATCTCCAACAAATAATAATCATTATTAGACCAATTTGGTGACTCATTGCTTATCATTAATCTCATTACTTCTGATATTATATTAAATTTCCTTTATGAATTATTCAATTTAACACTTTTATTGCTCAAAAATTTACTCAGATGAATACTGAGACAAAACATTTCGAAAATAATGTTTTAAAGATCAAAGAATTTATTCTAATAGTATATAACTGATAAAAAAGAATTTTAATGTCAACTTGGAATCTTTTCTTTTGTGTTCATGAAGTTTAAACTTTATCATTTGCACATTTTACTCGATTTATAGCCTGTGCAAAATAAAAATATTGATTGTTTCTTTATAATTATAATTTGATGCCCAATGAAGGGAAGTTTGTTCATTAATATCTTTTCCATTGACATTTGCACAATGATAAATTAGAAATTGAACTACTTCTTTATTATTCATTCTTTCTGCAATATGAAGGGGAGTTCTTTTACAATTATCTTTTGCTTTTACAACATTATGTACAGCACAAACATTTCACTCTAGCAACTCATATCAATTGTGTTATAACATTCATAAAAATTGGAGGAGATTGATATCAAATCCTTTCTTTACCAAAAAAGACTCTCCTATCTCAGAGATCATTTGGTATGATCTTATCAATGTTAACTAAATTTATTGTGTATTTTCATGTAAATTAGATAATGTTCAAAACCTGACAAAATGTTATCTTGTAAATACTTTTAACTATAATTTTGAATTCTTTGAGATCAAAATTGTCATGTTTCACTTCTTCAAGTGATTTCTGTTTATTTCGTCCTAGATTTGGATTATTATCATTATATTCAACTTGACAATAATATGTTGAATAATGCGATATCAACAAATCTATTGGTTCACACGGATCAATACTAGTTTCAGAACCTCTAATTGCTTGAGAGACTTCGTTTTCTTTAGAGTAACAATGATCAATAACATATGGTTTGCGTGAAAATATGAAGTTTCCTTTGTTTCTTATAAAAGAACAATTTGAAAATGCGCATAAGCTAGTACAAAATATTATGGCTTCATTGTTTCCAGAAAATTCATTATTTAGATAATTACAGTTCGAAATATTAAATGTTCCATAATTATAAATAACAGCAATTTCAGAAGATGACGAATTTGATACTGTTGTGAAATTCATAATTCCTGTTCTCAAAGGCTCTTGAATTCCATAAGCAGCATATTGCGCAATTTTGTGATTTGATGTATTCATATTAGTTATTTGGATATCGCCTTTAAAATGATGAAATGCAGAATGATATCCGCTGCATTCTGAAGGCATTTTGGAGTATCTTTGATTATGCTAATTTAACACCTGTTAAAATTATTAGATCCGAAAGAATGGAAAAAAAATATTTTAATGGCGTGAAGCACCGGTCATATTATTTTCATGCAGAAATATTGAAGTATATGTTTAACATAAGTTAAAAGAAATAAAGTATGATTTATGACAAGCTGATATATATTTTGTTTTACACATCCATTACCATATTCCATTCGTGAAGTTAAATCATCTGGACATTTCTGAGTTATTGAAGAGGTATCTGGATACTTGAGACAGTAAATTTTTATTATTCTAAATATACAGTATATTAATCAGATACTTCTTCAATAGTACTCAAAACATCTTGATGAGTTTCATACATAATTATAATTGAGAAGTTTAATGCTTATCGAAAATTATGTGAATGCAGAGGAATATTGATCTAAAAAGAAGAAAGATAACGAATGATTTGGATAGATGCATTGATTAAAACAGTTTTTCTCTTGATGTTCCTGAAAAATTTTCAAATTTCTTTTAAAATATCATGCTTTCTTCTCAAAAAAACACAACTTAGTTCTTATTAAAATCAAAGTTTTACTTACATTTATTTTGAAAGAAAAAATTATAAAGAAATTTCAGGTTCTTGAGGAATCAAATCCAAATGATTCGTGATATTACATACATAGTCAACAACTCTTGGATTATTGATGAGAGCTTGATGTTCAAACTGTTTGTTGTGTCTGTTGAAGTCGAAACACTTGATATTCGACCAATTCTTGCAAACCCATTCCATTCCATGAGCAGGAATCCTTGTATCACCTGGAGTAAATATTTCATGTGGATATTTGTCCCATCCCTTCTTAAAATCAAGAATTTCGGTTGTATCAAGACCAGAATTGAAAAGAAGAGTAGTTTTAACATGCGGTTCTTCTGGATAGCTCTTGGTAATTTCATATGACTTCTTGTACATCTCAAAATACTTAGGACGAATGAGATTAAATTTTGATGCGAACTCAAAAACTTTTTCTGAAGTGTAATTAGTGCCATCCGGTCCAATAACGACTGTTCTGTTACCGAAAACTATTAAATTAGGGTTGTGGCTGTGAATACATGGCCATCCTTCAACTAATTCTTTTAATTCAGGGGCATGATAGAAAGGAACGAGCGGAGATGATCTGGTCCAGAAATAGAGTAAGTTACTCGTTGTGCCAACGAAAGATGGTGCAAGTAAAATGAGTTGTTCGATGAATTGATCTTTCCAGGCTTGATTTACTCTTTTTGATAAGAATTGTTGTGAATTGAAACCACCAAGAGAGAATCCGAACAATGTGACCTTCTGGTTATTAATTTTGGAGGCATTTTCAATCAAAATTTTTAGATCTTGATGAAAATCTTCTGAAAACGCCGGCGAGATTCTCCAATCATATGGTGCAACAAACAAATCCTTTTTAAGAGTGTAACCCTGTCCTTTTAAGATATCGATAATTCCAGCCATGGATTCAACAAATGAGTAGTTAAATATCTTAGCGTTTGCAGCGTATCTAACTGATTCGTCTCCTCCGAAATCCTTGACATAAATCGAAATGTTCTTATAATTTCGAATTTTTCCATCGGAATCTAATCTTGGAGTAAGAAGTTTGCATAAACAGTCCTTTCTCTTCGAAATAAACATAGTGGCATCCACCCAAATCAATTCGTCTTTCATAGATTTTGGACAGTACCAAGGAAGTTCCTTATCTTCGTAGGTAGTAAAGAGCTGCGTTCCATAGAATGGGGGGAGAAGAACAATTGGCGGCATGGAAGATACTACAACATTGAAAAACCAAAACATTTTTCCTGACCTATTATTATTTCAATATAAGTCACTTTTGCGATAATTTTGTGAATGATTTGATCGGAGTTATTTACAGAAAAATTTGACATATTCAAAGGATTCAGGAATCGAATTTAAATTTAATAAAATTTCAAATAAACAAGATGAAAAGAGTGTAAGTACATGCAAATATTGTTTAGAATAATTGAATTTTTAAAATCTTTCACAAAAAATGCATGAAAAATTGAGCTCATATTATTAAATTGTTTTCAATTTGGTTCATAATATGAATTTCATAAGTCAGATTGTGATTTGTGCACAACCCAATGAAAATTCAAGGAAATTAAAATTCCAATCGATTTCTGCTTCATAATGTCATATGGTATATAATAGAACAAATAGTACAGTATCATATCATCAGTTTCAATAACATTAAATGAAATTAGATGTTGTAATTAGAATTTTCAAATCATTTCAATACATCTTGATGTTTATTCAAACATTTTATGAAAATATATGATATATTATTCTATGACATGTTTGTTTTTGTTTCCAAAATTTTGAATAAAAATCTATCGTTATCATTATCCCTAAAAGTTATATAAAATTTTTCTGAATAATATCATTGAAATCAATCCTCCTTTGGACTGTAATATAGTTACATCAAAATAGCACATTGTAAAATGAGGACAAACATGTAACTCATTCATGTAAAAATTCAAGATACAATGGTTTTCATCATTCTTTCACTTTTTGACACAAAGTTATTAAAAATTCAATTAATTTTGCAGTTTTCAAGATATAAAATTTAATGGTTCAAGTATTAAAATTTGAGCTTCCCCCTCCTGATCCCACCATTATATATGATCCATCGAATAATACTTATATCGATACTATTACTGGAACAGTTTTGGGTGGCATACATCGCACAATCATTTCCAAACAATGGAATGATTTTAGATTTGTTACAAATCAGCATATACAAAATCAATTAAAAAAGGAAGTCGAACCAAACTTAGCAAAATATCTTAAGTCTTTTGGAATTAAAGATTCAGAAGACAAACATATCTCTATTAATCCTCAATATCCTTTAATTTTAGCAAATAATATTGATAAACCGGTCAATGCTGTAGTTATTCAATCTTATCACCTTTTCTTTCATAAACTTGGTTATATTTTCTTTCATCTCAAAGTTACTGGAATTGGTGAAAATAAAATTGATAACCATAGATCAATGCTTAAAATATTTAATGAAGATGTTCCCGAAATTTTCAACAAATATAAAATTGAAATCATTAACCATTTTGTTGTCCCAGAAAAAGATTCTCACTTCAATTATCTTATTATCTTAGATCCAGAACTATTTAATACTAATTTCGTACCCTTTCGGAAAGTTATCAGACCAGGCTGCACTGTTTATTATGAATTTTGGGACATTAACTTAAAAGCACAATATTATGACATTATAGCCATCATGGACTCACAGCCATCAGATCCAAAAGTTGTCCGTTATTTGTTTTTCGATTATTTCTCAAATCCGCCTTTTCGGATTAAGTTTCATCGTTTTTGGCAAAAATATTCTAAAAAAATTACAACATGCTTCTTAAGATATTTCAGATTACGCAGAAACTATGAACCATTGAAAGAACATATTGACTAAACACTTATTCATTTTATTTAACTTCGAATAATATTATTTATCATCATGTGAAACTGAAATCATTATAAAATTTTATCATGTATTGAAATTATAAATTGGACAATTTTAACTTTGTGTTGGCAAATTATAATATATAGCAATAAATATGTACATAAATAAAGTGACATGAAAATGAGAAGTCTTTTGAAATGGTAAAGTTATAAATCAAGATAATTAAATATGAGTTGTTTCTTAAGAAGTATATTGTTAGAACACATGCTTTATTCGAATATTTATTTATTCATCCAAAGTTTGCCATATATCTTGTAGAAACCGAAATATTCGAAGTACTTATTCAGAATAAGCACTATCCAGACTTTAGTACCGTATTGAACTCATTTCCTGATCCTACCCTCATATTTGACTCATCGAAAAAAATATGTACTGGGGCAGTTTATGATGATTATAGTTTCACGATTATTTCCAGGCAATGGAATGATTTCAGATTTGTTACAAATCAGCTTATAATAAATCAATTAAATAAGGAAATCGAACTAAACTTAGCGAAATATCTTAATCCTTTTGGAGTTAATAATCCTGAAGATAAAGATTACAAAATTAATTCAGATTATCCTTTAATTTTAGCAGACAACCTGGATAAACCGGTCAAAGTTGTAGTTATACAAACTTATCTTCGAGATTCTCATGAAATTGGTTATATTTTCTTTCATCTCAAAGTTACTGGAATTGGTGAAAACAAAATTGATAACCATAGATCAATGCTCAAAATATTTAATGAAGATGATCCTGAATTCATAAGCAAATGATAATGCTTGGTTTACTATGAAACTTATACTTTTTAGAATATTGTTGGTAAAATCTTGTTAAATCATGCTTGCTTTTATTTTTTTTTTGAATTTGTTCTATCTCAGACACATTAAAATCCATACATATATTACTCGTAATTGAAATTCAAGACATAACAGAAATTGAAAATTAAAACATATAATGTTGAAACAAGGTAAATACTGTACTTGATTACGATATCCATATGATAAAGGACCATATATAACAGGCAGAGATGATCCTTTATTAATTTTTTTTGATTATTGAAATTTTCACACAGTTTATCAGGGAAAATAAAAAAGAAATATCAAGAAGTAAGCAAATGATCTTGTTTTTCAGTAATAATTTAGTTCAATCTATTTTGAATAACATTTGATGGAACCTATCAAAGAGTTATAAATCTCTTGCGTTTGGTGTTGCTTGAATCACGCTAATTCTTCTTTCATCCTCAAATCAATGCAAACCTTATTTCAAGGACAAAAAAAGTTATCCAAAACTACGGTTAACCTTAATTTTATATAATCGGACTAATATCTAAAAATGTTTCCAAACTACAGAGCTTTTCACAAAATAAACTTTTGGTGAATGGCTAATTTTATGAAATGAAATTTGCGTAAAAAATTAATACGAAAACAGTCATGTCATAATTTACTCATGACATGATGCTGATCATATATTTAGCTTATGGAAGAATTTGTGTCTAATTTCGATATTTTCAATTTTTACGAAGGTCCTAAAAACATTATTAACCAGAACGTATCTTCATTTATTTAAACATACTTAATTATTACGTTTCGAAATCCACAAAAATAAAAGAAATTTTTCCGAATCCAAATTTTTTTTAGATTGAAATAATATAATTGTTTAAAAGTCCATACAAATTGAGGATTAAAAATCTCAGTCCAAGAACAAACTGTTGTTATCAAAAGGATTGCTAAGATCCGAGAATAATGAGTTCGTAGCATCCTCTCCGTCAGATAGATTAAATATTCCTACCTGTTTGTTGTAGTCTCTATCGTAGCGGAGTTCTTCAAATGGGATAATTTGCCTACATATTGGACAATCCCACAAGTTCTGAGTAACACCGCGCGTTATAAATTCTTTAAGATCGAAGCATTGATAGTGCTGACATTTAAATCCACGACCCGGATATTCTAATGTCTGTGTTGGAACTGTAAATGGATCATGAGGAATTAGTGGGGCTGCCGGGAATGTATCTATAACTTTTCTGAGTAGTAGCTCTGGATTTTGGATATCTTCAAGCTTAAGTTCAACAAAAATTGGATTGGGAAATCCGAAAGTGCAAAATTGCAAGAAATTATTACCATGGATGATATAAGGAGATATATCTATAGGCGGAATCGCATTTCTAAATATATTATTGTTAATTGAAAATGTAAGATTTTGGACGCCCTGCTGAGCTGTTAATACTGCTTTTCCGACGCGAGTCTTATCTATTGTTAAAGTATATGGTATTTCACGCTGTTGTTGAAGTAGAGTGAATATAAAAGAGTTGTTTACCATCTGGGGTGGTGGATAAACAGGCATTGGTGGTGTCTGAAACGCCATTTGATTGAATACTGGCTGCGATAAGTTCATGTGTGTCTGATTTTGAAGAGAAATTCCTGGATAAAATTGTTGGGGAAATGCTACTAAACGAGCCTGTCTTGCATTTGATTTCCTACGAGTTCTCTGAGTAAGAGGGCTTGGTTCAGTACCAGGTAATTGCCCAGCTAACTCAACGTCTGCCGCACTCTGAGTTCTCCTTTTTCTTCGCTCAGACATTTATTAATTCCTTTAAAATTGATCGTCTTTCCCTCAATTTTTGAAAAACTATCCGCCTTTTTGAATGATTGATTTCGCGTATTTCAACACACATATTTTTCATGATGGGATACTACACATAATTTGCTATTCATTTGCTCAGAAATCGGAATTTTGGGAACAAAAAATGTTTCAAGTGATAATAAAGGTTTTATGGAAATGCATAGGGTACGGCAATTAGGAATGAAAAGAATTTCAGAAGCAGATTTCCTCGATTATCCATTCATATTGAATGAACAATTTCCATTGTTTGCTTTTTGTTCATAATAGAAGGATAATTTAAATTAGCGTATAGAGTTAGAGTGAACTTACTCATATTGGGTCAATTTCCCTATAACAATATTTGAAACGAACATGGGTCACTTCCAAAACAATACATCTGACTGTTGAATAACAGCGTAAGTATTTCTAAGATGCATCCAATTAAAATTAGCCAATTGTTAAATAATCTCTTTTTATTGTTTATTAAATAAAGAAGTATTTTCATAATTTCTAATATATGTATTTTGTTTAGCTATCAGGATCGCGGAAAGAGTTCCAGAACAAGATTATAATGAAGACTACAGCAACACTCTTCTTTTCTTTAACAACAATCGAAACCCAGCCTAATTTTGGTAAAACAGCAACAAGCTGTGTTTCTACATTGTCATTGTAATAGAATTCTTCACCACGCTGATAAAGGAAGTTGTCGGGAGTTGGATTATTATCACCCTTTGTAAGAATTAATTTATGTTGGCCATATTTATGGGTTTCTATCATTCTGTGGACAATTGGAACTGGAGATGTACGAATATTGTATGCACAAATCTCACCATTCGGGAACATTGAGCCTGGTGGTGGGCTTACAGCTAAAAGTAAATCACCTCTAATAAAATCTGGTTCCATGGAGTTGGAAAGAACAACAACTAATGGCATGTTATTATTAAATACTAACGTGAAAATTGTCCAAATTAAAACAGAGCTAAGAACCATATTAGCCGCGTTGACAACTCTGTCGAAATAGGCACCGCTAACGCCATCTCCGAAGAAAAATCGTGTTAGAAAGACTTTTGCGCTGGAGCTGGACATTTTTTTATATTTTTAGGGGAAAAGTGACGTTATATGTCAATTTGTCAGGGATTTCATATGTTTGAAATGAAGTAGAACTTTGTCGATCAATAACAAGTTCATAATGAAATCCACAATACATATACCCAAGTCCGAAGCATAATTTTTGAAAAAAATAAAAAATTTGTTTTATTTCGAAGAGTAAAAAATTCCCTTTTACATATAAGTATACATTACTTATTCGCAAGTCCGTTTAGTAGCGACGGCGGTAACGAGCTGGCTTTTCTGCTGTGAATGGTCTCTTTGCAGCACGAACAAGAATTCTTTGATTGCCAAGTTCTTTATTATTCAAAGTGTTAATAACCATATCGCGGACTTCTGAGTTTGCAAACTTAGCATAGCCGAAACCAGAACGCTCACCATCATTTTCTCTAATTAAATTAACTTCAACTGGCTGGAATTGAGAAACGAGTTCCTGCAAGTTTTCCTGTGTGAAACCCATTGGGAGGTCAGAAATAAAGCATGTGTCGTCGCAAACTGGACGTGGTTTCGCTTCACGGTATGTAACTGTGCGTCCTTTGATAACAATTGTCTTTCCACTATTAAGACAGTTAGCTTTAGCTTCTGGAGTTGCGAAATCGATGAAACCATGTCCTTGAGATCTGACCTGATCTCTGTAGCGGAATGTTGGAATTGTAGCGTCTTCAATAGGGCCGAATTCTTTGAAGGCATCCTTAAATTCTTCAATTGTTAACTCGAAAGGAATATTTCCTACGAATACAGACATTTGAATAAATTTTTTTTTGATGAGAAAGGAAAATTAACGATTATTTTTCCGAAATCATATAAATTTGCATTTATTCATTACCCAAAAAAATCGATACGATATAAGCGATGCTTGTTGTAAACAGAAATTCATCAAAAGTGACACCTCAGAAAAGCTAAAATATTGAATTTTTGGAACTTTTGATAGAGCACGTTTTTAAATATTAATTAAAGTAAATGTATATTTTGTAAAGATTCTTTTTAATAAAAAATAAAATTTTGAAGAAGAACACAAAATCTTCTGAAAAATAATATCACATAAACTCATATTATTTTCTAATAGATAACTATTTTATATAAAAATCAAATTCAATGATCTTAAAAGCGAAGGATAAACCTCAAAATTTACGAATATAATGAGTGGGAATATAATGCTTATCTATCATAAAACCATATGAAATATCAATTTTTGCTTTACGCCTAATTTTTGACGACAATTAGCAAAAAATGTTAAATGTTAACACTCAGTCCATTTGAATATGAAAAATAAAATTGACTTTGATTAAATGTTTTTATTTATCATGCAATTCTTCTTGCGACCAAAGATTTGAATAAAAGTTCAAAAAATAAGATAGCTTAAAAAATAATATACGGTAGTGTTTACTAATAGATGAATAGTATATAAATTCTATTAAAATGGATTTGATCCAAAAAAATATAAAACCAAAAATAATTGTTTTACCCAGATTTTCCTTACTTTTACCACTCCCCATGTAATTTCTGGAGAAAACGATAATTCATTTTTTTTATGGATGAATAGATCGTTTTCCTTGAAAGGACCTCATATCTCTGGCTAAAAAGAGTGTCAGATCCTAAATAGGTTATTGATCTAGTGTACAAATCCAATAAAAAGCCTATTTTTTTGCTTTTTTGTG